ACTGAGAATCTTCATAGACAACTCTTTCATCACAATGTCATCACATTAATCATTTACATAAGAGTTCTCACCTTGGTGGTGTTGTCCTTTGAGGCGGTGATGAACATGGTGAGGTCTACAGACGTCGTTGATGTGCCTGCTGTGCTCCTTTCTTCAGGACTCCGGAATACTGACAAATAAACAACAAAAAATGTTCATCATTATCACAAGCTCTACAAAAGATGCTGCCTGTGATTCATTATTTCCTTCAGTATTTAATTTCTATAATACTGCGTACAAAAGATGCTGCCTGTGATTCATTATTTCCTTTCCTTCATTTCTATAATACTGCGTGCAAACTATTTCTTTAGCAGTAATCAGGAAGCCGTGTACTATCTGCAGTCTCTTTTCTTTTACGGTATTAATTTGTTTACATTGCGCGTGGCGATTACCTACCGATCTGTGGCTCCCTCAGGTTGAAGGAGTTCATGAAACACAGACAGCCCAACTGCTTGTCTGTGGAAAACATGATGACATTGCTGATGAAATCGAACTTGCGTGTTCTGACGGCAGACATTGAAGGGACATGGAGCAAAAATTAAACACCAAAATATAAAACACTTCACAGGAAATTATCCATACTACATTTTAACACTCATACACTATGTCTGCTGGAATCACCTATATAGCTAACTGTTTATTTAATTTCATTATTTCACTACTCAATTTACACTGGGCAGATATTACATATTATATATTTACTTTATATACTTGCTCAGGACACCAATTTAATTTAATATAACAAGAATATAATATATATTAATTGAGATTACAATCAACAACATACATACACAGCAACTATAATTACCTACTAATACTACTAACACTAATCTATCTACTTCTACTAACAGACTAATCTACTAACATCCAATGTTCCGATTTCCCATATTCATTGACAGTGTGCTGCTACTCATGTATTTTAATGTATTTTACCTATTTGAGCATTTTTATTGTTGTTTTGGTGCTGGAACTCCCAAGGGAATCACAGAAAGTTCTATCTATCTAAACGTATGCATTTTTTTTTCACCCACTGGTCCCTCAATCAACAGATGATCCTGACAAGACAATATTACAATTATGCTTTTATTGGTTTCACAGCACTGCTGTTGCATAATGCATTGTTGCAACAATGTTATGACATTAAAGATTATATCTTTAATGTCATAACATTGTTGCAGTATCCCAGTCTTCCCTTGTTTAATGCGTTTATTGTTTAAGTTCACCTTCACATTTGCTATATTTTTAAGAAATTAATGTTGTGCTACTTTCCTTTTAATCAGAATGAAAATAAATCAATTCTACTGGGCTTAGTCGTGTCTTCTTTTCTTGATTACAGTTTGATTTTCATATCATACACACTATAGAGCATATAGTCTTATGTTTGTAAGACAACTGCAAGTCAAAACTAGCAGTCGTGTTGCCATTTGTAGCTTCACGTGGACATTCCATATTCTTGACGTATTCCATATTACTATTCTATAGTCACTGGTGGCAAAGGTAAGCACAATCATTTTGTGTCACTCACTAGATCTTCAGCGACGGAAAACAGAAGGTCTCCTTCTGCGTTGTACTTGAGCTGAGTGATGGCCCGTTTGTGGCCCTGCAGTGGGGTGGGTTTCTGTACAGAAAAGAAATATTTGCAAGTTATTTTCAAAAAGGTGCATCAGCCCAGCTCAAACTCTTGTCAAAGGCCTATTTCTCATTTACCACGACAACTCTATGTTCATTATTAAGACGAAAAACTAACTACGAATCATTTTAGCTACTGACAAAAGCTAACGTTAGCTGCCGAGACCTATATGCTAGCGTAAATTGCACTAACGGTCTAGACCGAACGGCTACCATTTCAAACAAAATACAACCGACAATTGTTTTCAAAGACCCACCATTTCAGTCAATCATATGTAGCCACCGCACCGAGTATTTTTGACTTGAACGCCCGCTGGAAGCCCAAACGGCTAACACTCATGTCTCATGCTGCGGATCTGCAACCGGAAATAAAGATCGTGCAACCATTTCTATTTCCGTTATATAAACGTTCCAATATCAGCACGCCCCCTACAGTTGACCGATGACATTCCCATTATTATTTGTTTTTGTTTTTTACTTTAGTCTAGTAGAACCTTTTCGTTGATAGAAAGAGCGGGCATTGACGACTGTAACAGAAAAGCTCATTGGTGAAAATCTACAAACTTAAATAATACAAAAATACAAAATGATTTCAAATACTTTTTAATGTTAATAATTACTTTAGAAATAATATAAATATATATACAAAGATAACAGTTTTTGCAAGAAGAGCAGGTCCTGCTCTCACGTTCAAACCACTGACTAGGGTCATGTCTGGTGAGGCACTGACTTCTCTTAAGTTAGATTTACAATTGTAAGAACCAAAAAGAGCATCTTATTTCACTATTCATACAACAGCATGCACCTGGTACTGCTTGATATCCCATCAGCACTCCTCTTTCAATTACACCAACACGAACACATAGATAGGAACATATTTTTATAGAAATGGATAGAGCACCCTTCTTGTGTCTAAGCAATTTTAATTTACTGTAAAAAAATGAAAGTATACATATGAGTGCAGCACAAATTTAATTTCAGATGCCCGCTTGAGGCCCTCCAATATATACTTTTTTGGTACACCAACTTTTGATGACAATAAAATACTGTACCAATAACTTCCTGAAAATAAAAGTTTCTCAAAAATGACTAAAAATACACCAATTTGCCTTAAAATACTTAGCTATGTCCATTTTTGTGGTTAAAATTCAGAAAATATATACTTTTTTGGTAGGCCAAGTTTTGATCAAAATAAAAATACTATACCAATAAATTCCTGAACAAATCTCTTAAAATAAAAGTTTCCCAAAAATGATTAAAAATACATTCATTTGCCTTAAAATATTTAGCTATGTCCATTTTTGTTGTTAAAATTCAGAAAATATATACTTTTTTGGTACGCCAACTTTTGATAACAGTAAAAATACTATACCAATAAGATCCTGAACAAATCTCAGAAAATAAAAGTTTCTCAAAAATGACTAAAAATACACCCATTTGCCTTAAAATACTTTGCTATGTCCATTTTTAGTTAAAATTAAAAATTAAAAATAATAACAAAACTAAATGATACTGAAAATAAGCAACACTTAACCACAAAAAATAAATAAATAAATCACATTTATGGCTCCTACAAGTACATATCTTTGTCCTTTTTATGGTTAATATTTGAAAATATATAATATATATATTAAGTATATTAAGTAGATATACTTTTTGGTACTTTGATCAAAAGTAACCTATTATACAAAATAAATGAATAAAACTCCACTCATTTAAAATACTGAACTATGTCCTCTTTTGTGTTTAAAATTAGGAAAAACATACTGTTTTTGTACGTCAACCATTGATCACAGCGTTATACTAAACACCTCATCAATGATGCAGAATATCTGGGTTCAAATCCAATGTGATTTTGTGACCAGTAGTATATTTTTTGTAACAGTCACACGAGGGGGACAGAGGAGGTATTCGAGAAAGTTATGTGAAAACTAAGTTCAAGTTAACCCTAAGATGAAGGGTATTTTATCCATTCCAGAAAGAGAGGTGACTGAAACTCTGAGTCAGTTACCATGGTTACAGCCTCTGTGAATATAATCTGCTTGCTGGCAGGTTTACTTGAAGACTGCTGTTCGACATGGATCGCCTATTCATTCCCAACCCGATTGAAATCAAAGCCAAAATTATTCTTTCATTCATTATAAAATATGACGTTGCTTGGTGCTATTTCGACGCAGGCAGGTGAGGCTTAAAAAATCCCCACTTGTTCAAAGTGGGGAATGACCGAAAAAAGTAATTCCACAGATAAATACAATGAACAGCTGCTAAATGCTGACTCTCTGATATTAAACAATTCATCAGGTAAAGCTGCATGATATGACTTAGGTCTAAAGAGTAAAAAATATAATATTTTAGTGGAGTTTTACAACTACATGTAAAATAATCCACATCCGTCATGAACAGTGGCCAAATTAAGCATTAGTTGTTGAAATAAACAGCACTGATGTAGCAGCATATTTTTATTTCAACTCTGAACATAAACATTGCACGTTTGCCTTTTCATGCCTTAGGTTTTCTTAGTGCCAAAAAGAACAGAAAAATCCAGTCCATATTGGGAGGAAAAAGAAGAAACACAAGAAACACTTTACATTTCCGAAAAAAAGGAATAAAAGTCTGTCATGGTTGGAGACCTGATAGAAAAATAGAACGTTGATATTCACAGCCCACGTAACATGATGCAATATAATTAAGTCATGCATTTTAGAAGTGATATCACTAACCCATGGTTTTGGAAATACGAGGTATTTGTTGGCTCACATGTTTGCTACATCCTTAGCAAGTGGAACTGAATTTTTTCCTACTGCATCAAACATGCAATTCCGAACTTTTCCTGTGGGCTCCAGTTCAGACCTACAAAGAAAGTACAGGAGAGTACACAGATCCATGCCACACAATGTGCACAGTCACGTAAGGAACTCCAGTTATCAAAGGTACAACACAATTAATAAGGCATACTCAAAAATACTTAAAATGTATACCTTTAAAAATACAATGGAGGCTGTGAAGACATGGGCACTTCATAGTGTACAACAAGTCTTCAGTCTGCTGCAGGTTAAAAAAGCTGTTGGAGGCAAATACAGTCAAAATAAAGAGAATATGTTGGTGAAGTTTTAGAAAGATCACATATCTGCCTACGGTGTAAAAAAAAAAGTAGTCTCGCACTCTTAGAGTTGGTTCCTATCTTATGGGAACACAATCTTCTTTGTACTTTTACTACAGATATGTTCAAATCAGTTTTGGAAATCCAGCCTGTAGAAACTGTTAGAATTCCAATGCTAAACCTATGAGAGTTAAACTTGTGCTTTTTTGTTGTTTTTGTAACAATTCTGCTATTGTATTGTCTATGTACTATAATATGCTGTAATCATTGCAGTAATGTGCTGTGGCCTCCAGGGCACATACTTCACAATAATTCACAGCACAAGCAGAAAAACATCTTTATCAGTGTCTATTTAGTTTTGGTTTGTTTTTATAAGAGAATTAGTACACAACAAATTTTTCGTATGTTTTGAATTATAAAAATATTGTTTATATGTTGTCATTTTCATGAGGTTGCATTTATGCTTTGTTGTCTCGTTTGTTAAAAATGGTCAACAATGTTCAACAGAAACTTGACTTGCCCATCAACAACCCTCAAGTCAGAGAAACAGATCCAGTTTCTTTGGAATTAACAAAATGTGTTAAAATATGTTTAATATTTTATTACCAGTGATGGACGTGTAAACAGACTGTTTTACCTCTGAAGACCAACAGACATGTTTTTTAATAAGCAATAAAAGTTCCTATAAGTTAACAGCCATTTTTTTTAGTTTTTGTAGTATTTTGTGTAAGTTTTAAACATAGAAGTGATGTTTATTAAACCTAGACTTACATTCATACAGAGTAAATTCTGAAACCAGTGAAGTACTACTGGTCAATTTCCTGGGATTCTTCAGTCACTATAAAATCCTAAGTTTGAGTCAAAGTCAGTATTTGACACCAAATATGTGCACGGTGACCTGCCCTTCGAATGTGTTTGAATGAAAATCTGTTTGATGTCTGACGTTTTGAACTGTTAGCTTTAAATTGATGGATTAATATATTCAGAAAATTAATTTCATACCAGGATTTTATCAAGGCACGTTGTGTGTGTGTGTTTTAAAAGTGAGACCCTGCGTTCTAAATCAGTGGTACAACAAAGTTAAAGTTATTATTTCGTGGCTAACACAGGGATTGAGAAGAGCCTGCGTTTATTAGTTTTACAGATTGCAGCAGGAAAAAAAAAGTAACCATGTCATGGTTCACGTACTATCTACAGAATGTAGGTGAGGAGGAGGCCATGCATTTTTCATTAGGGTCTTAAAACAAGGCACGGAAGGGGGAGGGAGCACAGCACTCAATCTGCATTGCAAGCACTGTCACAGGTCCAACTGACTTCACAGCCATTGCAGCTTTTTTTTACTAACAGCACATATAAATAACTTAAACAGCCTATGTACAAATTTACAAAAAATATCTCTGTCACTACAGAAAAAAAAGCACGAGCAACCCAGGAGAACCGGGATCAGAACCCAACCAGGAAACATTCTTAACGGATTTTTCTTCATGCCTTGTTGTGCTGAGAACGTGTGCGATGCCCAGAATAGTTACCGTTAGCTCACACTTGACACGTTGACACAGTGTTTTTGAGTTTCCTTTCTGACATGGTGTCATCAGCTGATCTGTAGCTGCTCTGACAGACTTTGCCAAACGCAGGGCTGTCAGCCGGGAAGACTGAACCTCTGTGATAGTGACGCGCTCAAGTCTAAAAGCTCATCCCTACAGGCAGAAAGCGAAGAGGAGCAGAGCCCAACAACCTCTGCATGCACTGCACTGCACTGCACAGCTGCCTCTGTTGCAGGCTGCATATAGGAGGAAATAAGCCTTTAATAAGAGATCAGCTTCAAAGTGGCCACAGGAGCTAGCTAACGGGTTTGGATGTTGTGCTGTGGATGTCGCCGCTGCTGCAGCAGCTTGTGCTGTTGTGTTGGGCCACGGTGCAGCCGTTTGTTTCGGTGCCGTCGCCACTGCACACACTGGATGAAGCAGAAATGCTCGGACCTCGTTGTCTCTTCTTGTTGAGTTCCTCCCATTTGGACCTGTTGGCACTGATCATGTCCAGCATGGGCCCGAGTTTTGGGTTCAACTTGACTAGAGTCTGGGGAGAGGAAGGAGGAGAGAGACTAACAAACAACTGAGCTTAAATAATCAGTTCACACCACAGGAAGCATTTCACGTACATTACAGTCTAAAATTCAGAAACAATAAAAAAGTTTAAATTCTAGTTTTGGTTTTCATCCATGTACTAGAGTAAAAAGATTCTCTGATCTGAACCACACCAATGTTTCAAAAACATTCAGCAGCTGTTTCTATCCGGTGAAATATTTCAACTGTATATGTTGATAATCCTAAATATTTAAATTGTCTGAGCCCCAACACATATATAATGTTATATATGTGTATATATATTATATATGCGTTGCAGACATTGACTAACATAGAAAAAGACGGGTTTTACTACAAATCAGTACTGATTCTAATATTATCCTCTTCCACCCTCGACTGGACTAATTGTCAAATCAAGTGTTGCTTCTGTAAACATGCTCTCATCGGGCAGAGCGTCAGAATTCTACCCTGGTTCAGTGTGAATGCCTCATTTGATTAAAGTGCAATAGGTGTAAAGCTTTGAAGTCATCAGAAAGAAATTGCAGTGTAGGAAAAAAAGAACAATCTTCCCTTAAGCTGCTGAGTAAAACCTGTGTGGGACTTTGTCAATGGTTTTACAGTGTGTTCATGTTCCACTGATTCAGGACTAAGAAAGACACAGAAAGACTGTCACAGGCTGGGGAATAAAGATGGAAGGTTATATAATGGGTGGGGGGGATTAATATTCCACAAAGTATCCAGCCACCAGCAGGAGGAGGAGATCAGTGAGATCAAGAAGCAGATCTCTTCCACCCACGGACACAAAACCCTGCCGCCTCCTAACTTTCTGTCTTCTCCCTCGCTCCTGCAAGTCTAATTGGCAGCGACTTCGGCATGATCGTGAGCTCCGTATCTGCATTCAGCCAACATCAGCTTTCACATGAAGCAGTGTGTGCAGACAAACCCCCCACGCAGACAACACAAACACACACACACACACACACACACGCACACCACTTTGATGCCTTTTCATCTCCAATACACAGACAGAAGGAATGGCTGAAGTCTGGGCGCAGCACATATTAGGCTGCTCTAAGTTTACACACACATTCTGGCATAAGTCAACAAAGGTGACGATGTCATGTGTGTCATTTGACAGCAGGAGAAAGGCGGACGTCGAGGGAGAATTGCATAGAAATCATCTTGTGCTGTGAGAAATGGATGAATGAACAACTTTCTCCTTGACCTTCTCCCCTGTTTGACTTCTTTATGAATGTGTTTTCACTGCTCCTCATCTCCTCACAGTCCTGATCTCCTCACTCTGTCAGCCTTCTTCCTCCCACACAGCCTGCGCTGCCGGCAGTGGGAGGAGCAGGTGAGAGCGCTTTGACGTCATTCAGACACACAACCCTCACTCTTCACCACACCAGCAGGGACACTGTATGGATTTCCATTATCTCCACACGGTATAATTGCCTTAAAGATAATCACAGGCTCTAACTCTCGCTCTGCTGGCATCCCACAATACAATCAGCCTCATTTTCTTTTGCGTGCATCTCCATCTCTACGCTCGCTCCTTATTTCATTACTGTGCAGCCGAGCCTCTGGTACATTGTCTTCCCAAAGTGGGATTTAACCACTAACACCACAGCCCTGCCCCCCACCTACAGCTTCTTAGAGTCAGAAATTGCTGATTTTTTTTCTGCTAAGCCTTGAAAAAAAAAAGATTAAAACCCCGAAGGTACCCTGAAGCAGTCCTGTCATTTTCATTGAGAAATCTGTGGCTGCATAGAAAGCTGAATGGTTGATGATCATTGTTGAATCGCTAGTGTCAGTGGATAGAGGCCATTAAAGAAGGTGGACGTGTTAGTCTGACCAAATCTACACCTTGAAAAGCACATAGACAAATAAATGTTACTGAACTAAAGACTGTATTACTGTTCAGGTTCTTAAAGCAGACACAAAACAGACAAAGGTGCCATATACTAATGACCTTTCTCCACACTTTATGCTATGTCATCTGAGCTCCTTCAAGCTTTCATCTAGAGATTACAACCAAATGTTTTAAATTTCAACCCTTTGATCCTTGTAGGATAAACATATTTATTATATTAATATATATTTATTATTATATTTACCTATTTTTTATCCGACTGTAAGTGGTTTAATGTTAATTTATCATTTTAATTAAAAAATGAAAATAGATTGTTTTAAGCTGTTATAGCTTAAGTCTAGTATTTGCACCGAGTTAGTAAACAGAGATAAACTAAAAACTAAACTAAAATTTTTAGGTTAGCTGATGAAATAATATTGTATAAAGCAGTCAAATAAATTAGAGGAAAAAAAAATAAATGTCAAAAGGTTGTTGTTGTTTTTAAACCAATGGCTGCCTATCGTTTCTACTTATTTTCTTGCATTCAGCAAACAACTAAGATACACTCATTGAAATGTTCCTGTGCTTGTGTACTGGTTGTGCTAACACTGCATCATGTTTAACCTCATATCAGAGGCTGTTAACAACAAATGTGGCCGAAACGAAGGGCAGATAACATGAGGCGTTACCTCGTACAGTGGCGCACAGATTCCATCAATCCACTCCAGCTGAAGCCCAGGCAGTTCATCCTTCCTGTTTCGATCAAAGATCGCCTAAAAACAAAGCAGAAAGAATTCATTTTTCAACCCCAGTGTGACTGGCATTAAGGAAACAAAATGTAGACAGTGAGAGAGTCAATAAAAATGTTCTCTATGTCATGTTCAGTTTTTCTTCTCCTTTGTTCTTCTGTAGCCTGGACCTAAGAGGCTCCGCCCAGGCTGTGCTTCAGAGATAGTTACTAAGCCAGGACTTGGAAGTTAATGTTTCATTTCCGACTCCCACTCACAGAGCATCAAGGTTTGACACAAGCGGCAGACCTGAGGCTACTGCATTAGTTATTTCAGAGAGGAGGCAATGTGGCCGCGCTTGATTAGTCAACAGCCATTAATTCCTCACACAAAGCTGCTGGCTTTTTTTTCCGTTAAGAACTTACAAGACAGTCCAGCCTTCGAAGCTCCTCCATCAAAGAGACAGTCAGCCAAAGGGCTTGGAACATTTATTTAACAGGGACTTCTTTTTAGCAGGAGGCAAATGTATAAAATGTTGGCTCTATATGAAAGTAAACATATACAATAACTTATTATTGGGCTAAGGATCGTTATATTTTATTCTTTACAGAACATATTGCTAAACAAATGTTACAATCTTATGGGTAATATCAGATTTTATTTTGTTATTAGCTAACATTTGGCTAATATGTATTTGTTTGGGCTGTATTGTTGTTTTTCAGCAAAAGTTATTACCAATCAGGCCCAGCTATTATTGCTAAAGCTTAATGTTTTATGTAAAACTTGGACTTATTAGCATTATTATTGTTGTTGTTGTTGTTATCCTCGCTGTTGTTATTGTTGTTTCAGGATTGGTAATTTAAACTATGTACCAAAAAAAGGTGTCTATTTGAAGCTGAATGAAGAGAAAGGTCAGTGTTTGCTTTGAACTTTGTCTGTTTCTCCTGTGTTTGTGCTCTTATAGGAGCGAATGTTACACCGTGCTCCATAGCACACAGTTTTTACTGTTGGCACAGCAGTGATGCAGTGGAGCGGTCAAGCTGACAATACACTTTTCTCTCACTGGGATACAGTCTCCCAGGTTTCCAATATACGCAGTCAATATATATATATATATATATATATATGTGTGTGTGTGTGTGTGTGTGTGTGTGTTCCCAGCTGCAGAGGGAATATATATTTCAACACCTAAACCTGGGGAGGAGTCATGGAAAAAATAAATAAATGAGATCAGTGATTGTAGGCTGTTAGGACTCACAGAAGGAGTGAGCTTCAGCTCTGATCTCTCTCTGTCTCCCTGCTCAAAAAACTCACTGGTCACCAACTCAGCCACCTGGAAAAACCCAAGCAGAACAGCAGCTGATTCTGGTCAAAAAACACTAAAAAGAAAAGGGTGATGATCCACAGCCAAGTAATGAAAAAAAAAGTATACATAAAACTTTCAAAAATGTTGTTCTTTTTCTCCCTTTTATATAATTCTAACCTTTCGTGATGTTTCCCAAGGTTTAGTGACTGCACCGAGATCACAGGCTGTCATCATCATAGATCTGAGAGGACAAAATATATTACAGTATTTGGTCACATTTTTATATTGAACTTTCAATTCATACAATTTTAAAGAGCTTCGTGCATTCATGCTACATTACCTGCACATGTCTCTGTGAGCCTTCACGTTCCAGTTGTACTCTCCTTTGCTGACAAGCTCAAAGAACGTGTTTCTGTTCCTAAAAAAATTATAAAATAGACCGTTTTAATACAGGCGCACATTTCATAAAAAACACAGGGGGGCAGTGTTACCTAAAAGATATGTCCACAGTAAACTGTGGTAAGACATCGAAGGAGCTTCACTTTTTACAGTACTTTTTTCTAATATTGAGCATAAATGTTGAGAACAACATACTCGTAATAGAGCGTGAGGTCAGTGGCCAGAATGGACTGTTTGAGCAGCTGCATGAGGTCACTGTACTCTGTGGAGGACAGGTTGGAGAAGATGTTGTGACCCTGAGGAGAAAAACAACACATGAGAATTCACATGAGAAAAATAATCACAGTCAACTATTAGTGATAGTCGTAAGGAAAAAAAAAAAAAAAAAACCCACAGATACTTAAATCATTAAAATGAATTACAATTAATTAAACAATATACAAATACAATAATTATGTTGTAAAAATATATATTATTCAATGGAAATACTTAGTTTTGCAGATGCATATGTAAAAGTATTCATAGGCGAAGAAAATGAATCAACCAACCTCTCTTAATCTAAAGGGACGAGATGACCAGTAGGTCTATGATGGGGCAGATGCAGAAACATTATGTACTGCTGTACTTTAAGTGGGTTTCGGATTACACCCCAAAGGTAAATAAAACCAACAATTCTCTTTTCTGTTTACAAACACAGTATGCAGCTCACAATCTCTGTGCTGCAGGGGGAGCTATAAAACCGGTCACTCTAACTTCATTAAAACCCTTTCACTTAACACAAGAAAAAAAAAATAGATGGTTCCAGAAACAAGCAATTTCCCTGTGGACACAGACGTCTAAGCCGGCTATCAACTCAGACCACTGGAGGAACAGCTGCTGGAACACTAATACCACTACAACTGGCATTTCACCTTATTTTTGAATGGGACTTTATTCAGCTAAAGACTTAAGAATAAACCAATAATATTTGTGTGAGTATCTTCTGATCTAAATCCATGTGAAGGGAACGACAGTGACTTTGAGGAGAGGGTCATCAACAGCCAGCTCAGCTCTGTATACATTCATCACCTTATTAACTATCATGTATTGTGCACATTCATTCAGCACTTCCACCTCTTTGGCTGGAGGACAGACAGTTGGCCCATGGAGGAAATGGGAGATGAGGAGGTGAGGAGAGATTATGCAGGACCCAATGGAAGGACAATGACAAGCTGACGATGAAAATCCAACATCACTCTTTAAAGCCGGATGACTGCTGATTGCTTATAAACACTGACACTTCGACTCTGTGGACTTTCTCCAGTCGTCCGTGAATCCCTTTCATTAGCTGGAGCGCCTGACATGTTGAAGAACGTCAAAGTAGCGACTCAACAGAAATGATTTCCCTCACTGTGCAACAATTGGAGCAGATGACTGGAACTGCCAGTACAATGGAGAGCGAAAATGAGGAGAAATCAAATGGTGTGGAGGGCTTAAAAAGTTTACATCTTTATCAATGGTTCGTGAAAAGCGGAGGATTGAGTCGTGAGCTTCCTCTCCTCCTCGAATTAGCCACGCAATTCATTTATATGCTAATAGGGCAGTGTGTGAATCCACTCTGGTATCAACTGAAACCATTATGGTGATATTTGGAGCAAACATTTGTCATAGTACTGTGTTGTCAGCACCGTCATAATGAAGACGGTGAAACCTAAGCCCCTCACTAAGCCTCATCTTAGCAGCTCTCCTCCACAAAACATCTTTAATTACAACTTCGCACAAACCCAGTCACCTGCTAAAACATCTCTCTCAACCAATTACCAGCCAATCCATCGCCTCCGTAATTACATTGATTCAAGGGCAACGTGAGCGATTTGTTTCGGCCTGCACATACAGCACACCTTCAGTCAACATATGGTTTCCTTCAGGCTCTTCAGTGGACACCTAAATTGTTGATTGATTTACTGGATTATGGAAAGTTAAAAGAAATACGTGAGCTCAACATTAGCTGTAAGTGAATAGTAGAAACAGAGGGAAAACACTAAAACCAGCTTTCATTAGCCACAATAAAGAAAAGATAGACTGTAGGTGCTTTGTTCTAAAGCTTACTGAATGATAGTTCAGTAAACGAAAGGTTATAAATAAAAAACATTCGCAAAAAATTATAGCTTTGTAATCTTTAAAAGTTAGAACATGTGGAGCACTATAGGTAAACCTGAGTCGCTTATAAAAGAAAATCCAAAATTATAACTAAAAGTCATTAATAGCAAAATATTTGTTAAAGGTTAACAATTATTAAAACAAAAATATACTTCCTAATACTACAAATTTGCCCAAGATGGCTAATACAAAATGTAGAAATACACTTCGATCCCTAAGGAAAATAAAAGCATCAATATGGAAGGTTTTCATCCTTTAAAGTCCGACATTTTCACAGATCACTTGTTAAATAACTGTCTCTTTCACTTCCACTCTGCTCCTTGATCTTTTATTCCTGCACTAATTTTAGTGAGCGAGCAGGAACACGGTGTGAAGTGAGTGACTTATTACTAGTGACTCAATCTGCCAGAGCTGCAACCTATATGTTCAGGAAAGATACTGTAGTGATAGTAACTCATGGGTAAAGAACAAAACAAGGATAATTTTTTTACAATACCTGTTGACATTCTGATTTGTTTTTTTTTTCTTATTTTGATTTCACAACAGGTGTTTGTTGTTTTGAAACCATTTAGTTTTGTGAGAAAACGTATTAAATGTTTAAGCAACATTAGAGACTCATCTGTCTCTGAACGGTACCTTGGTGGGAGCAGCAACATTAAAGGGTTAAGAACCGAGTGGTAAATGGTGTCTGAGGTCACATTAAATCACATTACAACATGCAAACACAACACGCAGTTGCCAGCACTGACAGAAGGTTAATGATCATCAGGGCACCTCACTCTGCAGGATCATAACAGCATGGTTGAAGTGGTGATGCTCCAGCGTAGCGGAGGTCCCATAAAGCAGAGCCAGCGCTGAACCCGTCCTGACACACACAGAGTGAAGTGAAAACACGCAGCAATCAAAAACAGAAGAGTATAATCAGCGTGCAACACATACTGAGAAGTACATTCTGCCGTGGTCCCTGTTGTAATTCCCTCACCAGTTTACTCTGCATGCTGTTGCCAATTTCCATCTCACTACCAACAGACAAAGCTGTAGAGTCATAAAACCTTTAAATGGAGCGCAATTTCTTCACTTCCCAATGAGTCATGTGGGCCAGCGTTTTGTAGATCAGAAGTTTTAACTTTTGTTAAACTCTTTAATCGATATGTTGCCCTGTAGAGTTGATTTATTTTGTCTTGACATCTGACTCTCTGGTCATTTTGGTAACTCTGTTCATCATAAAGCATCCATTTGGTAGCATTTGTTTTACATGTTGTACTTGTGCACAGTAAAAATATATCCATAAAAACTGCTAAATGTCAGCTCACTATAAGCTAATGGTTAGCTAAAATACAGTAAGATATGTAGCAAATAAGACAGCAACTGTGTGTAAAAATGATTTCGCTTCTACCACAAATTTTTTAAGGCAGAAAAGGAAATAAAATCACTGCTTAAAAAGTATTTTTAAGTAAATGTAATTAATTAATTAATTAATTAATTAATAATTAATCTAATTATTCAAGCTCTGAAATTGTGGTAATTTCATTTGTGTTAATCACTTCCAATTATGGTGGTGTGTCCACCTGTTGTTTATGTCACTTTCTGGTTCATTTCTCCTGGATGTTATGACTTTGGTGAGAGCAGAGGAAATGACCAGTGGGGTCATTTTGTTGATGTAGATGAGCTGAGTGTGGGTAGCGTTTAGAGTGTTTAAGTGGAGCAGACACTTATATAAATCTGACACTACTCACTACTGAACCCTTTCCATGAAATAGGTCGAACTGCCAGGAAACACATGAAACTGAACTGTGTGTAGGAGGGAGTGTGTTAACGTAGGTATGGACGGCTGGGAGAAGCAGGCCAGGAGTCCCTTACTTTGCCTGGAAAGCATTGTTGGTTCCTCTGTGGTCCAAGTCGTGGCACACACAGCCAACGATGAGAGCTAAGATCTCCACATCTGTCAGAGTCTCCTGAAAGCCCGCTGTCTGGGTGGACCAAGCAAGAGGGAGCCAGTGAGAAAATACAAAACACAATCACACACACACACTAGAGAGAAAATAACACAGCAGCATTTCTGCTTCTTTCTACATTGAATAAAAGAAAGGGCAAATTGAATAAAAATGTAAAACATACCTACAGCTGCTGCATACTTTAAAAGAAAAACAGTATCTGCCTAAAATGCCAGTGGGACTGCAGTAGCACCGTCACACTGGGAGATTTATGGCTCGGATGAAGGGGGTTTCTGGAGGCCATGTGCTGAGTGAGTCACTATAGGTCATTGTGGGGGTAGAGGCAAAGATAGCAGAGCCCTCTCATTAAAAGACGTGGCAGCAGAGTGCAGGGGTCCAGAACGGCTTACACACTACTATTTCATTTTCCTCTGCCAATAATCAATTCAGCTGGGTATTAATGCACTGCTTGATTAACTGAACTACACCAAGCTGTTTGCATAGGAGTGTGTGCTAAGTGTGTTGCCCGAAGGAGCTGCTGAAAGTGTATGAAGGAAAACACCCGGGAGTCACTCTACAAATGCTCGTGTTTAGTCTTCCGTACAGAATTGGCTGTTTTTGTACTGTGCAATAAGTTGTTGTTGAACTCTGATTTGAACTAAAGTTCATTTAAGAAATGTGCCGAAAGCTGGCAAATAGAGTAATTAGCATTATGGACACATGAGACACTTGACATGCTCAAAATATCATTGCAAGAGCAATGTAACATTAGCTGGTTACTCATAAGATCATTGTTTTATCTGGCTAAATACCTAGCTAACTTTGACTTAATGGAGATATGATTATAATTGTGTCTTAAATGTTTTTGCAGTGCCTCACACAAATAATGATCTGGGGAAATCATGATTGTTACCGTTAGCATGGCAAACATGCACTGGCAGACATTGAAGGCATGTCTCCAGTTGTGGTAAAGGACCATTCTGTAGTTTTTCCTGACAGTCAGCAGCCATCTGCACAGTATCTGGAACAAGGATGGACAGATGAAAGAGAAATTGGTCAGCTGTTGTTACAAGGATACCGACCATGTATTCAAAACAAGTACTGTACACAGAAAACATCATTGTCCCACCTCATAGTCAATCTTGAATTTCTGCACCATGCCCAACTCCATAAACATTCTCAGAGCAGCTGTAATCATGGCATCAACGTCCAGAGAAAAGTCGTCGAAGGACAGCTTATCAATGCCCAGCTCACAAACCAGAGGAATGTTAGCAGCCTGGATGGCACAAAAAGAGAGGAGAGAGAAGACTCTGAGGACGTGTTAGATTATACACATGTTCCGTACCAGATTTTACCACATCTTAACAGTTCGACTGCCTGAAGATTGAGTTTTTTTAAAGTCTGACACTTTCAAAACCAATGAAGGCATTTCAATGTCCTAGAAGTGCTGTGAAACTCCTAGACTGCTTAGGTTCTTACCTAAAGAACACTTCTATCATATATAGTTTTTCTCCTGTGTCTGCATTTTTGAGTAAAATGTTTCCAACTGTGTGTCCAAGGGGGACATGATTTATTGTGGTAACCTCAGAAGGTAGTAGCCAAAGAAGAAAAAGTAAAAAAAGAACATGTTCTCTGTAACTAAATCACTTTAAGTTCAGGGGTCTTAAACACTGGGTCCATGACCCATAGTATGGACATAGGAAAGAGTAGATTCTTTGTTGTTTTTCAAGACCATTTTTTCCCCACAAATTTAAATATCTAAAAAACTCATTAAAAAAATGTTGAATCCAACATATTGTAATTAATGAATGACTCTGCAATCAACTGGTAAACAGTCTGGGGTGTATCCCGCCTTCGTCTGATGACTGATGGGATTGGCTCCATATCTGCCTGCAGCTCTGAAGTAGATTTACTGGTAGAAGATGAATGACTGATAAATTAATCAGAGCACAGAGTGAACCCTAACCTTGTACAGTAGCAGAAACCCGTAACTAAGCGCTGGGTCCCTGCTCCATATCACCAATATGTCCATCTGGCTGTGGGTACCTGGCCTACATGAAGTCCAAGACCTCGTCTGTTTGACACAGTATGAGGATGTTTACTTCTGTGCATCGTGTCAGGAGGATGGCCGTAACCTTCATGACAGTTGCTAAAAGCCAAACACGTGTCTGCCTGTCAGATCAGCTGATGTTCGCTCCCCTCTGTCTTAATTTACAGCCCTGGGTTACTACGTGTCAGACAGGTTTGTTTGCTGCTGCTGCTGCTGCTGCTGCTGCTCAGCAGCTTCCACATACAGCTGCTGCTCTATGTAGAACAGTTATGAAAGAAAGTGGGGGGAGAGAGCAGGCAGATCTTGGTGCTGTATGAGGGGGCTGTGAGATCACACAGTCACACTGGAAAGCAGGGTTCCTCCTTCATGCAGTGGCCACAGGGGAGAATCCTACACATGAAAGTGCAGCAAAATAGGTCATATCTATATTTCAGAAATGTCACACCAATTAAAAATGCAGATAATTCTTATTTTCCTTCCTTATTAATAATGCATTTGAAATGATTGCTTGTTGATTGGAGTAATCCATTTGAAATACCACAATTAGTTTACCTTCACTGGGGAATTCTTGGCCCATATTTATTCCAGGTTGTTATTTTGGAGGAAGTAGAAAATGAAAACCTGGGGACAGGCTGTCAATAATGTCGCACCGTAGCCATAGATTTTCCCACATTGAAGTTAATGAGATATTGTTAATTAATTAGATATTATATTTTAATTAAAGGGCCCAGGAGCATTATAGTAACAGAGAAGTGTAAGCCAGTACATCTTAGGCATTTGTCAAATCCACACTCCCACTGCTTTGCTCCACACCTTAATGAAACACCGGGGCTTAATCAAATCATAATGCAGATTTAATACTGTTTCCTTTGAGCCGAGTATAAAACAACAGACACGGAAAACACTTCCACTGAAGGAGAAAGGAGTTGTGAAATAGAAATGATCAAATTGATATACACCCATCATAATTCAGAGTTTATCAGTGAACCTCTGGAGATGCTGTGAAAATCAGACAACTGCAGATAATCCCATCTTAAACCACTAGACAATAAGGCCCATCCAGTGACCAATGTGTTTGTCTCTGGACCTCAGTTTTCATTAGCAATGAGTGGAGGTGTTGGCTGGGGTAGTTAGGGAAAAAGAGAGGACTGAGGAGAGATGACGGAGAGAAAATAAATTTGTTTTGTAAAATTAAGAATCCCTGAGAAGATTCACGGATGTGGAGCTGGAGGGAGATGTCTGGTATAATATCAGAGGAGAAAAGGATTGGGCAATTTGGAAGCCAATGATCATAAAGGGAGCAGCCAAAGAAGAACAAAATGTCATCAGCGTTTGGTCTTCTAGAAAATTATCCACAAACACAGTTATCCAAATGGAATTTTAGTATTTGTCCTGGAGTGTGACAAAAAACTAAGATGAGAACTACATACCTGTTATGGCACTTTGAAAAAATGTTTTAATGTAATTTGAATTGTGTCAAAAACAGTATTTCTTTTGGATAAAATTAAAAGTCATGATAGATGAATAACAAAGCCTCTAATTAATCACATTAAACTGTATGACTCATTGAAACATGTTGTAGGTTCCTGTTTGAAGAAAACCTTCTATAGGAATATTATAAATTTGTTTTTCCAGCCGGACTGAAAAGAATTCTGAAAGGATTTTTTGTAACAAGAACAGATAATTAACTACAACAATTAGCAACCAGAGTTGTAAAACAAAAGTAAAGATGATCTTGGTGATTACATTTGTGAGATCCAAACATGAATTATTTTTTTAAATAATAGTTGTTTTTCATTTTTGGATAAGTTTGGTTAATAAAGTTTCAAAAAAACTTGTTTTTAACCTAACTTTGTATAAAAGTCATATTCAACAGTGGGCCTTAATGAGTTAATAATGTATGAGTTTAGATATGAGAGAAGATAATTTGGTTTTACAGAGAGAGAGAGCGAGAGAGAGAGAAAGAGAGAGAGAGAGAGAGAGAGAGAGAGTTGTTGCTTTAATATCTGTACAGAAGGTTTCAGAGATGCATTCACTGACCCACAGAGAAATAAGCGGTTTATACAACAGCGATGAAAGCCACTGTTAATGTGTTCATACCTTAAATTTGTCCACTTCAGTCTTGGAGCAAGTGGCGTGGTAAGACAGGACCTGCAAATGTAAAGACAACTGCATGACTCTGGGGCTTTTTAACATCACTTCAAATTACCAGCAAGGCTTCACAAATAGAGTCGTGGCTTCATCTATGAAACACTGTTCATTTGTGTTACTTCATTTCAGTTTCAGGTGCCCCCCAGAGGTGGAGGATAACACTTGAACCTAGAATGGTCTACAGGAGCAGAAATGCCAGCCCTGATTCCATCACTGTTTCCTTCATTTCCTGAGAGAAATACCTGGCGCAGACCTGCGGTGGCTTATTTGATCATAAACACTCATGTTTATTCAGCGCTGTCGGAAGCAATTCATCTACATGGAAGTGCTTTTCCTTGGACTTTTCTCCACTTATTCTCAGTGTAAACAGAGCAACGCTAACTGCTGTGATGCACCTGTTTTAATCTAAGGGCAAACCATGAGGCTAGTGCCGCGCAGCTATGTCCTGCAGGGGAAGCCGAGGAATTGCATTCCGTTGCCTCTCATTAATTTTCAATAAAACCTTTGTAGGAAGGTTATCTACAGAGAGAAATCAGCACTTTTTTTTCTCCAGGCATACGTTATAGTAAAAATATGAAACTGAAATGCAGCCAAGCACATGGACCCAGGAGAGAGAAGGAGTCGGGCGAGCTTTAATATTCATCATACAGAAGCCTTTGTTTTATGTGATTCAGAGGGAATAATTCAGCCCAGACCATATGTTGACTGAACAAGTAAATGAAGATAATAAAACAGAAGAACTTATAGAACACGCCGCAGAGGGAAATGTATGAAGAAGGATGTTGTTTACATCCACATACCATTTTTATAGACTGCACATAAAGCAATGAAATGTGACCAGAGTTTCAGCTGTTTTTGAAAAAATAAATTTTAAAGACATGCAAAAGCTGCAACGACATGGTTTCCCTAGGACATGTCTGGCTTCATTAATCATTTTTTTTACTTATAAAAATATGTTTTAAATGTTTCCCTGGAAACAGTGATCATATAAAAATTTTCGAATAATTCTAAATTTTAAATTATTTTAAAAAATCCTGAAAAAAACATTTCATAATAACAAATAACTAAGAGTTAGCCCAGGAGGAGCTTCAAGCTCGCAAAAGATAACAAAATCAAATTAAAAGGGATAGCTAAATCTTGGAAATAATCCAAAAATATCCTAAAAGTTACCCAGTGTTTGCTGTGTGACATATTCATAGGAGGGAGATTTAATTCTCAGGGACCATATTTGTGCTATAGCAGCAGTGTTATCCCTATATATTTCTGATAATTCCTCAAAATTCCTGCAACTTTAAATTAAACTTTTAAGGGTCACAGAGAACTGTGAGTGTCCTTACATCTAAAGCCACAGATTGTTTGGCCCAGGACTTCTTCACCTGGTCGTACATGATGGTGTTGTTGATGCCCAGTCCACAGAAAATCACGAAAGCCTGGAACAAAACAATAACATTTCAGAAACAAATAACAGAAAACGACTCAAACACGGCCAAACTTTATATTAAAATAAATAATAAATGTAAGAAAACTGTTGAGCATTGACAACATAAAACCCTTGTTTGTCTTTAATAATAATAATAATTCATCAAATTAATAATAAATAAATCCAATTCACAATAAATCCATTTTTTCCTTCATAGTAATGCTTGGTGCATTTAATGAAACAGATAAACACAGTCCTCTGTAAAAACCTCAAAAACCTAGTTGTAATTATTGGAATATGCAGCAACTTCCTAACGCACAAACTATAGAATTTTGCAAAAATACAATCCTCATTGTTTCCCTTGTTTTCTTAAAGGGACACTGCAGGTGTATGGTGGTGTATTACCCTGCAGGAAGGTTTCCCACTGAGTGTATTTTATTTTATTTATTTATTTGCTGTTTTCTCCAAGTGAACGGTTAGAAAAACTTTTACTCTGGTACCTCAAAGAGACGCTGGTCTGCGTCGTCAAATGGTTTCCCATCGAGCCTGTTTAGCACTTGAGCGACACCTGGAGTACAAGACATAGAGTTTAATTCTGTCCAGTAACCTGTGCCTCCACTGAGAAAAAGAGGATCCAACCCACACACTGAACCCCATTGACTTACATGCATTATTAATGGCAATTAGGCAGAGAATAACAACATCCTCTCATGTGGCTCTGATGGTGATATATGTAGTACTAAACTGTATATTTCACACTTTTATATTCCAACCTGTACCACATACTGTATATTCCAGAGAAAAACAGTTCTAACAAATCAGCGCTTCTGTAAGTCATTCAGTGTTTCTTTTGAGAGGGAATACGGTCGTTGTTCTCAACACTTCAACTCTTTTTATGTGACAGCAGCAGCATTATGTGTGTGTGTGTGTGTGTGTGTGTGTGTGTGTGTGTAAGGTTTCTCTTATCCTCTAATTGAAAAATGAAAGAGCTTTTGGTTGATAAAGCACAAATACGTAAATGGTTTGACTGCACTGACTTTTATTGTCACTTTGAAATTATGCAGGAAATTAATTGCGCAAAACGTTAGTGTTTTCTTAATTCATCTCCAGGAGGTCAAGCAAACCTCCTCTGGTGCTATTTTAATTCCAGTGCATGGCTTCAAATCTGCAGATAAGAAAGGACACTTTTCCCTGAGGTTGAGATTCAAAGACATAGTGCTGATGTCGTCTCAGATCTATAGCTGCTTCCGTCTGTAATTAGCATGGAGTATGTGAGGAGTGGCAGCATAGGTGGCTGCAAGCACTGAAGGAGGATAAATGGCCGCTGAGAGCCCCGTGATCTGACCGTAATTACCACATTCTTGCGGTCACGAGCACTATTTTCCCTATTATCAAAAAATATTGTAAACCACAACAGAACCACTTACAGCTCCATTAACAGAGTGAATCCACACTATAATACAGTTACTGAATAATACAGTCTACACATAAGCTGTGTCGTGGAGACCAATGTTCGTTAAAGCAGCTGTTTGTTAGAGTGCTTATCAATCCAGCAAAACATAAATATTTCAGATGAACACGTGCTAGCAAAAGAAAAATTGCACTCAATTTGGGAAAAAATGAAGTAAGGGATGCACCAAAATCCGAAATTCTTGTGAAAACAAGAACTGGATCGAAAACGAAATTCTTGTGAAAACAAGAACTGGACATGTTGTGCAAATTATTCCTAGTGAACATCCATTCATTCATCCATCCATCCATCCATCCATCCATCTTCATATGTGTCAACAGCTTTAGCTCATAATCATCTGTAAATTTCTTCTCTGATTATTTCAGATAAATCCCACCATGTGATGCGTTGAATTTACAAAGCTAACTCTTGGCAGGAAGTATCTCTCGTTCAGCATCAACATCAATTAAAAGGAAAACATTCAGAAAATGCCAAAAAGCAAGGCCAAGAGTATTTTCCTTGTAAGGATCACATAAAACACACAAAGCAGTACCGTCCACTGGAGGGACATTTACACAAGTCTTACTCCCGTTTGACATATGACATTGTGTCTCGTTATAGTCAGTATTTCTTGTTGTTCCATTCAGAAAACCCGGCTGTAACCTTCACCGATGGCACAGGAACATTTCTTTTCTAACTGAATGTATCCTCGACTTGAGAAATTAATCTCTTGCTGCTGTGTTTGTATAATGGTTTTTCACTCCAGATCCTCAGGTGCCACCCACACATGCACACACACACAAAACCACATTGCGTTTTTTTCTCCCCCTCTACTGCTTCCTCCTCCCCACTCCCCCACCCCCGACAAATGCACTTACACCTACGCAAGGAGAGCGTTTAACCATTATCCAGCTGCAGTGAATATTGGGATCACTAAAATAAAAATGTAACTGGACCAGTACGAAGTGTTCGTATCGCCACCTTCTTTGTTTAGCATGAAGAAACAGACGAACGATCGATGATTTATCAGTGTCGGGGAAGGTAGGCCCGGGGCTGCTTCACAAACACAAAGCACACAGTGTGAAGAAGGGAACTCCAGCTCCAGTGATGCTGCAGCGTGGATCTAATCACGCGTGCACAGCCTCAGCTGAACACATGCCCCACCTCCCCTCTGCCCCTGTTGTTCTACGACGCAGTCAAAATGAAAGCCAAGATGCTCCAGACCTCCATCTTGAGGGCAGGTCGGTGGTCTGGACATATGAATGCATCATTGACACAAACCATGTGACACATCTGTCCAGTGTTGTTGACTTGTCTTGTTGAATGGTTAACCTGAAGGCTCTAAGGTCAGGGTACTTGATCTCATACACAAAGAATCATGTCCTTCAAATACTTACACTTCAATTCAAACATTTACTGGACTGGTTCGTCTTTGAGGTGCTGAAAAACCCACCTGACCTACACAGTGTTTAAACCAAGGTGGTAAATGATTATTTTTTGCACCTTTTGGCCTATTTCAATTTTATTGAGTATTTTCAGCAAATATTGCAGTTATGTTTTGTGTGATTCAGTAGCTGCCGTCCCCAATTAATGTATCTCAAATCTTGTGGGTTACATTAAACCACTGTGTTTGTTTTACTAAACTAAGTAATTACATACATGTCTTATATCAAACAAATTAACTGTAACAGTGTAGTGCAAATGTAAGTAAAATAATTTACTCACCAATGATTTGGTGGTTGCTGTTCCATATTGGGACACAGAGAACTGAGCGGATGTGGAAGTCTGAGAACTGGTCTGCCTGAAATTAAGGGAGAATAACAACAATAAAATGTGATGAATATAGTACACTATACATCACTATATTGTACTACACTATGTTTACTATACTACACTATACTATCGTAATTATCATAAAAAAAATAATTCACACACAAAATGAACTGATCTTTGACAGACTATAAATAACATGTATCAGATAATCACCAGTCGTTATCAGTTTCACTCTAATTTTATGGTGAAGTTCTAGAAAAGCAATGAACACCAGTGTAACTGCTCCCTGATACTTTAATTAAATAAATCATCTGGAATTTAGAACAAGCAAAAAGGAGCACGGAAGTAAAGTAACTATTACTAGTATAACTATTATAACTATGTAAGCAGGCTAGGTCTATTTTGTTACCATGGCAGCTGTGACATAAGTGGATATTTTACAGACCAGTGGTATAAAGTGGTTTGGCTGCTCATCGAAAACCAACTATAAAAACTCATCATTTACTACATCAAATAAACAGAGAGCAGATAACAGAATAACAGTTGCACCAACACGTGATCCAAACCATGAATCAAACCCATCTGGAAATGGTCTAAACTTAGAGTAGGATCTGAGGCACTTGTTAAAACCTTAGGAAAACCCTAAGTAAGAAATTCCAGTAAAAGCTACGTCATTAAAAGTCAGATATCTAAAGCATGTACAGAGTTGACACTGCTATAAATTAATATAAAATTCAATCTTACTGCTTCCACTGAAATGTAATGAAACATTTTCTTCCTCTTCTTACAGGACTTTAACCCTGTCACACCTTCACTGCAGCCTGCAGCTGAATGCGGAGAAGACTGCTGTGCTGGCCGCTGTGGGATTCTGTTCAGATGTCTGCAGCATCAGCACCAGATGCTGTGGTTACCACCTACAGTACTAGTTTGAGTCTCATCCCCACCATGATCAATTAACAGCCGACATAATGGAAAACCAAGCAACTTCACACTAACGTTGCCATTGAAATGGGGATTTTCTACTTATGCCAAAGAACAGTACATTTTGTTGCTCATGCTTAATGTCTTCCATGTGAATATCTTCATGTTGATATCTTCTCATTTTGTATAAATGGTTAAAAAAGTAAGGTGATCTCTGTGATTATTTAAAATGTGCTTTTACCTCAGCATCAAAGCGAGGGTCCTGATAGGCATCACTGATGTTGACGGGCAGCCCTGTGGACGCCACAAGCTCGGCAATACTGTTGTTGATGAGCCAGTCTGAGTAGGAAGATTTCTCCATACTGTCTTTCAAACTGTTAAGTCAGACAAGAGAAGAGGAGAAGGAGGAAGAGGGAAAGCCACCTGTGTTAAACCAATTTTCCCATCTTTATTTACACAGGAAAATACCTGTAACCCACTTCTTTGGTTGACGACTTTATTTCTAAAATAATTACACTCAGGTTTTTGTTCTCTTTCACACCTGAACTACCGGCTTGCAGGAGGGCACTCTTGCTTCTCCTCGTGGACCCTCTCTTTACCATGAACTTGCGTTTAATGAAGTTCTCATACAGTTAGCTCTGAGTGTGTTTCTGCCGCAGCCTATGAAGTAATGAAAAGTTAATTGTGTGATTGTCTTCCATTGCCAGCCACCCCCACACTCTGCCACAGAAACACCTGCAGCCCTGCTCACGATTCCCAGCTACATTTATTGCAGTGGGCCGTCGACAACTTCCTACCTTCAAACGCAACATAAGATGAATGAAGAGCGGGGCTGGTTTTGTCTTTTAAACCTGAAAAAAAACATCTTTTGAACAAAAGATGTTTTAAATCCCTCTGATTCAGTGATGGAATGGAGTGTGAATCTGAAACACATACACGCACGCTGTTTGAGATGGGGAATGAGCCTCATGTGAGATGGAACGATATCTGGCAGTGCCTTGTTTTCTTCTCGGTTTCACACAATGCTCTCTCGTCTGTCATTTAGCTGCCACAGCTGCAGGTCACAACGATCCTAACATGGACCTCTGGAAACGCTACATCACAATGGAAAATGTACAGTTCACTCGTGTTTTTGTAACAAACATACACAACTGATAACTGTCATTTTAAGGAAGAATCTCACAGAGATTCTTCTTTTCTAATATATCTTAATTGTGATAATTCTTTTTCCGGCTAACCTAGCTCTATTTGCTAATCCAGCTGTATTAGGGTAACGCAACTCTATTTCACTTACCTAGCTCTATTCTTTGGAAGTAGTCAAATTATTTAATCCCTGTCTCACAAACACAGAGTACAATGGAGTTTGTTAAGTCAGTCAGGCAAAAATAGGCAGTCAAGCAAACTCTGCATTTCTTTTATTACCGCACATCTCTTACGACCGCAATCATTTTCTTCTTGTAATAACTGCAGTGACCATCTCTGATTTGAAGAGGCCATGGATCATCAATTATGGCAAGTGCAGCACTTGTGGATAATTCATCTTCCTTTCAGCATGGTTTTCATCCACAAACATCCCACGCTATAATAAACCCCCCCTATTTTCATTTGGAAAAATCATTTCAATTTTTGTCCTTGATGGAAGATTTTCAATGTTCCAACAAGGACATGTGAAAATTTCAAAAGTGTTGTGAAACATTTAATTGAAAAATGTCACAGGTGTGAGAGAAATATTGAAAAGAAAATCAGATTGTAACTCTGACACACTGTATGTACATACATACCTGTTTTCAGTGTCTGCACTACACTTGGGAGACAGGAGCTCAAACGACTTGGTGAACTTTACAACCTGAAATAGATCGGTAATTATGTTATTATGTTTAAATTAGATTAGATTAAGCCTAAAAACATTTAGAGCACATATTTTCATTAACATGTGTATGTAATGAATCAAATAATTAAAAAAAAAAACAATACCGGAGACTCAATATCCTCCAGTAGTTGAACGGAGCAGCGTTCACACTTTAACAGCGTCTGAGCACGGTGCATGATCTTCCTGACAATCTTCTCCAGGTCAGTCTGCTCCTCAAACAGGTCATTGACGACCTCCAGGAGAGCCTGAACATCACCCACACAGAGAGACACCAGTGGAAAAACATAGCATTCTGAAAATCACGTTGTTAAAAATCTACAATAACATTTATTATTAGTATTGATTATTTCTCCAGTGCAATTGGGGCACTGAAACATGTGCTCATTATGTTATCCTACATCACAGATCAATGTGTGACATAAATTAGTACTTCTCCAAACATTGCCCTGGAGATTCAGATTATGGACCAGACCCACATTCAGAGAAAATGTTCATGCAGGGCTGCAGCGTTGTTGGGCTGCAGCTGATCAATACTCAGCTGCAAAGGGAGCAGCAGGGAGAGGAGGGAGAAAGTAATGATCCCTGGGATGTGGGTGGAGTGGTGAGAGTACTTACCCGACTCCTGTCATACTCCTTCCTGGAGGCGGCAAACAGTTGAGCATTGGAGATGGCAATGCCACAAAATGGCAGATACATCTGTAAAACCTGTGGGAAAGTATTGATAAAGGTAATTTTTTTAAAAACTGAAAGACGGAATTCTTAGATCAAAAGTCAGGAGTCAACAGGTGCAGCCCTTGCTTTTTATATAGAATATCACAATGTCGGGGGAAATTGACCTAATGACCACTGATTAAACTAGTAGATTAAATCTAGCAGAAGCGTGTTGTATTTAAGATTGAACCTGCCTGTTTTACCCAGACCGCTAAGCAAATGTTTTATAAAAACATGACGTGAACTCATCCTAACTTTACAAACCTTTTTTTTGTTCAGTTTTCGCAAAAACAAAAATAGAAAGAAGTTAGATAACCATCCAGCACGACACTTCCAGTCTTTCCACAATGTTTACACCATTCCACAGCAGACAGCTAAAGCTGGCTGTTAAACATGACTACTAAAAATGGGCCATCTCACATAAAAGGGTACTTTTTTTGGACAAATGTTTCTTCAGTGAAAAAAAATATTTAGACCTTGCACAGTTTCTCTGGGTGAGAAAACAAAAAAATGTGTCAACATTTGCAGTTTGTGTCATTTTATTTTCTATTTTAAAAACAGACAAACAAGAAAAAGAAAACTTGATTTATATTTTTACCCATGGAAACTTAGAACAAAGAAAACGTGGCTTTCAGTGTCGTCATTACATCCAAGGACAAATAAATCAACTGAATAGCAACACTGACGTGAGCCCGCGGCGGGTTATGTAAATAGCCATTTTCACTCATATTTTCTGCACATTAATAATGTAATCACTTGATGTGGCCTAAGGAATACAGCTAATATGTATCCTGAAATCGAACCGGCCATTCATGTACCATTTCTCATGTATCATTCATGTAACTGCATTAATCTCCACCTCAACACTGTTGATTTACAACAAACAGGTAACTTCTGCACAAGAAAAAAAACACGTTGAATTCTCTATGACAACATCATATCCAATCATTTTCCCCTGTGGATCAATAAAACAATTCTGATAAAGTACTTCTGATTCTGACTGCTGTTACTCCACCGTAGGGCCTTATCAAAGAGACACTCTGGGTCCCATTACATCCAATCTGTACAATTTAGGTGCAGCGCTTTGCTGCCTTACTCCGCATCTCTGTTTGTCCGTCTATCTTTAGCATCTGGCTGCTGTGTAAACAACACAATCAGTACAACAAACCCACCAATATTTACTAGCCTTCCGTGTGACCTGAGGGTAACGGAAACTACAACAATGAATGAATGGGCCGTTACTCAGCTGCAGCCACTGATACAGAGGTATATCACTTTCACCTTTCAGGAAAGATCATGTATCACTTACCAATCAATGGCCCATGAACATGTGAGGAGCACGGATCCACATTACAGCGATGAAAAGGCTCTCTCCTCCTCTTCTATAGCACCATTTAATATCTGAAGGCCACTAAAAATGCTTTGCATTACATTTCAACTATTCAACTATTGAACCGTAGGTATTCTTTCATTGGCAGCTTTGGATATTGTACAAGGATTCCAGGCTCCGATGGTCTAAAATTGAACTATGGACAAGCACAGCCTGGAATCTAAATCCAAAACCTTTGTTTGGAAAACAACTTTCTGAAATCTGTTCATGATAATATGATGACTAATTAAGGAAAGAAAAGGAAAGTGAACTCCTTGTCACTGTGACATTGTGACACACACCACTGCACACAACCAAATGTGACCTCTGCATTTAACCCATCACCAAAGTGAACAGTGGGCAGCTTTTTGGGCGCCCGGGGAGCAGTGTGTGGGGACGGTGCCATGCTCAGAGCTAACTTCCACCACTGCCCCGCTATATCGGTATTGGTTGATATCGGGATCATAAATAAAGTATTTGGACAATATCCACGTATCGCATATCAGCAAAAAGTTATTTTTGGCTGATATTTTGTACGGTGTACAGGGAGGAGGAAATCATTGAGAAAAAAACAAGTGCCATATAATTTTGTGCCATTTTGAACGTGGGGACCTAAATGTAGCTTTAATGTTTCTGACTGCATATTTTAAATTTAAAGATAAAAGGAAACATGTATTAAAAACTGTACGGAGTTTGCATGTTCTTTCTATGTATGTTCTCTGGATACTCTAGTGTTTTTTGAAGTTTGAAATAAGTCCTAATTTTTACTTTAGAAATACAAGCAATGGGATGTACAGCTCCATAATACGAGTGGGCTCTGAGCTGTATTGTTCCATCCAGTAATTAATGACATAACTGGCTTTCAGCTAGATTCTTTTCTTATACTTAGTTTAAAAAAAGAAATTACTTTCAATAGTGGAAATTGTTTTGAAAAACTACGGGAATAATCCTTTTTAAAATAAATTTATAGCGCCCCCTGCAGGCAAGCAAGGGGCATGTAAACAGTAAGCAAACACTGTTGCTTATTTTTCCTTTGGTATCATAGATTTAGAGCTGATTCTGTTCACAGACAGTTGATTTTAAAAAAATTGCACATGACAAGCATAAAACTCTAATTGCTGGTTTCACCATCAGTGTGGATGTAAAATGGCATCAGAGACACAAAGAGTCTGAGAAGCCCTGCTCTAATTACTTCATCTTCGCTTTACAATCAAACAGGTCTCCTGGGTTTAGCTGCACGTATTTAATTTCTCACTCTGTGTTTCACAGGGAAGTAGGACTACATCAATATAAATGTATAGGCAACGGTCTGGATGAATTGCTTGCTCTACAGTAGGCACAGCATTGACGAATGAGCAGAACAGTAAGGGAGGGGGCATAGGGAGAACATATGAATACTGTAGGAAAGGAGTGGGAAGAGAAAATGCTGATTTATATTCTCCATGAGACATAAACCGCAGCACCTCTGAAAAAAAATCTATTGTCTTAATTTTACCTAGTAATAAGCAAATATTGTGCTTTTAAAGCAGTGCCTTCTTAATATTCAAATACATTTAGTGATTCAACACGGCCGCAAGAGGAATCTGCTACACATCCCACAATGTGATTCTGTTGGCCTGCGTGCAAATTAAATCACTAAATCAAATTAATTTCTAATGACAGCATGTGAAATATTACGCCGGTACGTTAATGAGCTAAATTAACTTGATGTGCTTAATTCAGTGATTATACATCATCAAGTGCCTGGTGCGATTGTTTTCACAAACACAAAAGAGATGATGCTGAGCAATAAGCTCTGACATAATGCTATTTCAGCTGTCTTCTGGAATTCTCCTAATAATGATCTCACTGAAAGGCAGTGGCCATCAATAGCCCCAGCAGGAGCAGATTCATTAGCGGGCCAGACTTCAGGGATCTGGCTATGGATCCACCGCTGGAACTAACAGGCAAACGCAAAGAAAAGCACAGCGTTCTCTAATTACATTCTGTCAGCTGGGCCATTATACAGAGATACATTACAAACAAGACATTTTTGCCTGTGGACTGACCAGTAAAGAGTGGTTTAATAACAAAAGCCACTGACCGAGGCCTTGGGCACAGTCAGTTTCCGAAAACATTCAAAACACACGGGGAATTTTAATATGAGGCAAACCAAGATAAATTACAGGGCCATTGTTCGCTTTGTCCACTTTCGCAGCAACTACCAGTTGATTGAAAAAGCTCTATATTTCAGTTGTAGTCCCAAAACCAAGACCTCTCCATTTTCTTCAATTTAATATATTTATAATCTAATATGTGGACGATGCAGTGATAGAAACACACCAAGCAGCATCTCACCTCTGAAGCAAAAGCATCAAATATTTATACATCAGGATTAAAAGAAATTAATATTCAGAACATGAGCATTTACGGCAGAGTGAAAACATGTAACATCTCCATCTTTCTTCCGAAGTCTTTTGATTTGTGGACCCTCACTTCACACACAGTACATCCTATAACCCCGCATATGAGGTTTCCCATGTTGACTGTATGAAATGTATAAGTGAAATGTTAACAACATGGCTAATAAAGGCTGCACTACAGCAGCAGTCCTGTTCAATAACTGTTATCCATAAATAATTGAATTGTTCTACACATTGCAGGTACAAAAGGGGGAGGGGGTCAGAATAACTCCACAGCAGATGTTGCATTGGTGCAGTAAAACAGATTATGTTACACACACAGTTTAGAGTCTGCTCCTCACATGAATCTCAGAGCAGCCACAGTGAAGCGGGTTCATGAAAAATTCAAGTCTTCTTTTTAAAATATCTAAATGCTATGAAATGATTACCTGACTTCAAAATAACAAAAAAGAAAGATGAAGTGAAAAAAATCTAAAATCTAGTTTTAACAATATAAAAAAAGGGATTCCAAAACAGTGGATCACAACCCAAATGGGGGTCATAGGACTATTCAGTTTGGGACACAGGACTAGATAATACTCACTGGTGGCTTTAATTCTTCTTTTCTTTAACGTATGCAAATAAAAATCATTTAACTTCAACTTGGGAAAATAAAACATTTAACATATTTTCTACCAAAAGCAAGTATAAGGATCATGTACGGAAAGTATACCAGAAACTCTCATAACAAGTAACCCAAAACACCAGGTAACGAGAACAAAAACACAATCACAATGTATCACAATTCGGTTGGGACCAAATCACTTATGACCCAGAGGACTGAACCACGGCTGGGTCGTGACCTGTCGTCAGGCAAATGTCCCATCCAGAACTGCTCCTGGCAGCTCTGCTAGCATAAATTAAGTGAAAGTGCTGCACATACAGTACAGTACTTTCTACTGAGGGGTCACGACGGCCTCCATCACACTGTTTTCAGGGGGTTCTTTAGCTTCCTCTCCTCTGTGAACATTGTGGGCTGCACTGTCTCCAAAATATTTGTATCCAATTTTCACACTGTCTATCCTCAGAAAATATTTAAACCATCTCAACCTCGCTTCTCTCTTCGTCCAGACGTCTTGACCCCGGCAGTCTTTCTGACCAATTTTAAATCATGTCCACTCTGAAGATCCTGAAATCTCTGCACCCCTAACCCCACATCTGACTACACACATCACCACTGTTGTGTTAATGTGCCAACAGCATCTTCCCTTTTTTCTTTTCTGTCTTTAGGTGCAAAGGCTTAGAATAAAAAAAACATAAATATATTAAATAAAACTTAGACAATAATATATTCCCCATTTTTCACAAAGTGTCTTCAATCCTCACTAAGAAAATGAGATTTCAAATTGGGAGGTTTCAATCAATTAAGGATTACATCCTCAGTCACGACTCACGTTGGCTGCCAAATGCAGCTAATAATAGTTTTTTCAAATCTTTCACACACAACACAGGGTCCATTAGAGATTTATATTTTTGGAGCTTCGACCCACAGAAAAGGGCAGGGATTTTACCAAATGCGACATTACATAAAAAAAACAACAGTTTTGTCCAGCTTTAATTGAACTTTAAATAACTGGGCAGTTCTCATTAATATTTATAACAGTCGTCCTTATATTCTCTCATGTGTCCGTCAGTTTAGCTCTGGACCAGACAAATGTATTTAGTCGTTTGGTAGATGAATTGTACCTGATGTAGATATCTGTGTGTTGACATCTGCTCATTACCAACCTCAGTGAGAAACACAGTTAGCAGTCTCCACTCCAGAGTCACATTCTGTTCTTCCTAAACTAATTAGTTAGTGAACACTGTTACACACACACACACACACACACATTTTTGTTTAAATTCAAAAACAAGAGTTTCATGATTTTGGTCACTGCAAAGGTGGCAAAAGACAAAAAAGCCGTCACCACCAGGCTCCCATCCCTGGAAGTGCTATGGGGAAGAGGTCTGTGACAGGAAAACCTCTCTTCCAAACTGATACACATATTCTAGTATGTGAAGCATCCATATTTACATAAATACAGGCTATGACATAACGTCTTCTGAACGATCACACAAAAAATCAGATATCAGCCAAAAAAAGAAAGAATTAGGCAACAAGATCTTCAGTATCAACTTAACATGGTTTTAAGTCGTGTAAACTCTTCATGACTCCACAACAGACTGTGTTTATCCCTTTTTGAGAAATAAATTGGCTTTGCTCCGTTCTTGGTAAGAAATTTCAGTTTCTCCTGGTTATCTAGTTCCACCTCAGAGATTTCCCACAGAAAAAAAAAAATCACTCGGAAATACTCGGAAAAAGGCAAAACAATCAAGGGGAGAACAACTCATTAGTGACATGCTGCCCTGAAACTGCACATGTTCAGTTTTACCTCATCTGATGCATGTGGATTACGATGTGTCCATGGGGTTTGCAATCATTTACGAAGAACTTGTCATAGGAACAAGACGGTACAACACACTTAATTCATTATAATGATCTCATGATGTTCACGACTCCTGGATGAAGCCCCGCTCTCCTTCTTTGTATCAGTGGCTTTACATTAGACTGTGGTGTGCTGGTGGTTGTTACAGTGTTGCTGTAAGACAATTAGACAACCAGTGCCTGAAGCCGGAGGGAGAACAGCAGCAAGGGGGGAACGTGCTATTTGCCAATCAACTCACACAGGTTTTGGCAGATGGAAGCTACAGGGTGCAACTGGTATCTTATTAAAAGAAAATTTATGAGAACGTCTTCCTTTGAATAATGTATTTGCTGCACGAAAAGGTAGAAGTGGAGAAAAGTTTAACTAGGAAAAATGCTAAAAGTCTAGAGACAGCAGCAAAAGATACGATCACACACACACACGCATACACACAAACACACACATACATATATAATATGTAATATTACAGAATAATAATTAAAGAAATTCAATCAAAACTGTTGGCCACCTCTCTCACACCTTTTTTTTTCAATGTTTGACTTGCCATGGCTAAAACATTCTACTGCAATGACCTTCTATGCTGTAAAACAGTTTTCTTATATTACATTTTTCATTAAGCAGAGCTGCAGCTGTGCAGTACATGGATCCTACTGTGAAGCTACCATTGTATTTCATTACTAATTCAGCTGCATCCTCCCAGAGCATTAGTGTGATGTTGATGTAAAGTGAAACATGCTCAAAAATACAAGGAAAAGCAAAAATTAGCCCCAGGATCAGACACCTGCCTGTAAGCATCAGAGATTACTGTGACTCCAATCAAGGCCCTGACTGACTGACAACTCCAGGGTGAGGTGGTGGACACCCTTCATCTGCACTTCTTCACCAAAGACAATAACAAACACAGGTATTATCTGAGACATATTTGCACCAAAATGGCTGGACCGATGGGTTACAAGTGACGGCGTTTGTGACCAAACTGTCATGCTTACTGAAACAAATCTGAAACTTTTCAGCTCTCAAATACTGTAGGAAAAGCTTTAGCACAAACAACACTTTTAATGAATTTAATATTTTCTTGACCTAAAGCCAAGTTCTTTGACGTCATCTGCCCGTCATTCTTCTCATTCACAAGGTTAATTTAATATAAAAATATAAGACTGTCAGTCCCATTATACTTGTATACTTCAACTTGTGTAATATCTCAATTTTTCACGGCCAGGTTCCAGACTGATGTGCTGGTCAATGATGTTTTGGACGTACTACACTGTTGGACTGGCAACGACTGGCAGCACTTCAAAAAAATAAAATCACATACTGTAAATAAAAAACAGATTTAATGATGGACACAGCACCCGAGCAAATTTAATTTCTAACTGATTTTAAAGTTGATTTGTTGGTGGTATAACGTCAGTGGCTTGTCTTGTTGTGAGTGAAAGATATTGCCTTATAAAATACAACAGTACCGACAGACCAGCTGCAAACTGAGACTTTTACGGAAGAAAATGCTTCACGACAGACAAGTAGGTGGAGTGGATCTTTTAAATAATATATATGCTTTACATGTAGGCAGGGGAGCAAAGAATCATCTGGTATTTATAAACCTCAGAGAATCGGCCATTAATGAATTATTTACCTTGAAAATAGAAGCACAGTGACACAATTGGTTTTTTCAAGCTAAAATACCTAGAGAATTTTGAGTTTTAACAATAACTAAATAACTAAAGAAAGCATTTTTGTGTATGTAGTGCATTTTTAAATAAAAATGAATTAAAAAATTTAATTTAGAACATTAATAACCAAATATTTAATCAAATTATAGCCAAATACTGCTGAGAAAAAGAATAAAGAAAGATTAAATAAATTAGCTATTGGTTACATTAATTAGCAAGAAAATATATTTTAATTTAAAAAAACAATTAGGAATAGTCTCAGGTAAACAAAAACAAATGAAAAAAGAAAATAAATAAGCCCAGACTCACTTGTCAACTAAATTAGGCACAGAAGTTGTTGTCATTTTGCTCAAACAACCTTGAAACATTTTAGAAAATATTTCAAACATCATTCACTGCTTTGTGGCCTTCACAAAAAAAAAAGAAGAAGAAATGTCAGACATGAATCACAGAGAGACTTTAGTCCTTGTGTTTCCTGTGTGTCTCACTGTCCTGTGCTGCAACAATCAAAAGGATCAGAGTCTAAAGCCACACTGGCAGATCTGCTAAGCTGCACCACTGTGGCTATAGTGCTAATGTCAGCATAGCCACATGCTTACGATAATAGTTACATGCTGACGGGTTGCAAGTAGTGATCGCTATACATGCGTTGTCTGTTAGAGCACATGCTATTTATATAATTGGAAACGTCACCATTGATGCGAGTATTTGGAGAAGTGTGAGCGTATGTTAGTGTTAATGGCTGCAAATTGAATGCTGGTGTCAGAGAACAGGTTTGACCTACATTTAGTGACAGTCAATGTACGGTGGGAGTCTTTTTACAGCATGTCTCCAGTGCACTGACAATACGGAAGCTAACACTGAATGACATTTATTTACTACAGTATAATTTCCTCAACCGCACGGCAACATTGTTAATTTGTGTAGTTCTATGTCCTTTTCTAATGCGCTGCTGAAAAGGTAAATTATACAAACGTCTTATTGGAAGAAAAAAGAAAACAGAACAGTTTAAATGTAATCAACTCAGTTTCTAGAATGGGTCATTAAAGGTTTATGGGTTCTGACTTCATCAGAAAGAAACTGGCCTCTGGGCTTTAGTCTTCTCTTTTTTCAATTCTTCTTCAATGGCAATGGGGCTCAGCAGGTGGCAGTGATGCAACAAAAAGAAAGATGTAGGTGAATGAGTGAACAAAGGGTTATTAATGATTTAGCTGTCAGCTCAGGCAAGTCTGAGAGATGAATTTAGAATTTTAAAATTTAGGAAGGTTACTATTTAAGTCTGCCATTAATGACAGATTTAAAATGACAATATATGTTCTGTTCTATTAGCTGTTGGCTAGCCAGCTAGCAGTAAGCAATTACATAAAAGAAATCCCAGGTTTGATTTCCTCATACCCTCCAACTCCCACCTTGTAGAACAGAAAAAAACGTTTCCACATGACCGTGAACAAAGCTGTGGCGTCACTAAAAGACTCACTTGTTGAGGTTTCACTCTAGCAATCTCATTGCCCAGGACTCATCATCTGCACTAAAGCCCTCAAACATGTGATCGTTCCTGAGCATTTCCACTCACATCCACAATTATGAACTTACCTTTTCATCATCTTCAGTGAAGAGTTCTCCACTCAAGGTCTTGTTGATGGCCTGAGCAACTCCAATGATCTCTCCGTCACTGCTGCGAATGGGCATGCACAAGAGCGACTTGGTTTTGTATCCAGTCAGCTTGTCTATTTCATCACTGAACCGTCGATCCTGCAGATCAGAGAGAACATGTCACAGCAAAGTTTTCTTTCTGTGTTTTCTCCTAGTATTTACATGGTCAGTACTTCAAATGAAGGACAAAAAATAACAACTGGTAGAATGATTTGACATTTGCTCCAAATGTTTTCCTTGTACAATTGCTGTGAGACTGGTGCCTTGCTGAGGCAGCTGTTGTGTTTGGAGAGTTAAACCACACAAGTCCTCATCTATACTGGAAGAGACAGGTCAGCAAAGAAGGGATCTGTTAAGGCTTCTCCTTGGCAAGTGTGCCTCAAGTCCACCCCTGGGGAGCAATTGTAACCTTACAGGTTTTATCTGGCCGTGTATTATCTTCGATCCTGAAAAGTGATCAGAAGGAACCAACAAATCACACCTAAGCCCAAGTTGGAAATTCTCTCTAGAGGGATTTACCAGCTCCATATTTCACTAATATACAGATAGTCACATTTTCTAATAAATAATTTCCAGGGTCATCATGCGTTTTTTCTTCTCACTACCATCCTTACCACTCACTTTCTTAGGACCCATTACTATTATGAAGAATAGTGAACAAAATAGAGATCATGTAGATAACAGAAACACAATATGGAAGACTTGCGGAAGATGCATACAAATATTACAACCATGATTAAACTACAGATTAAAAAATGTAATCGACTGACAGCCCTAAAAATAGTAAATTATTTCCTTGATGAGGAACAAATAAAGACAAAACTGAAAATGAATTCATCTTCACCTGTGCCCACAAAAATGGCCGTAGACCCTAATAAGTTCACTGAGATAAAAATTCCAAAATTTGAATCACCACCATACCAGTACATAACCTTTCAGTGGCTGCAGCAATAACTCAGTGGGACGCACACCCCAGTTTGGTAACCACTGCCCAACAGTGTCCCTCAGTGCTCTGTTATTATTTCTGTTGAGGTCAGTGGGGTTGTTAGAGAGATTATTGGTCAGAACACACCACCAGTTGAATATGTCTGTGGACAGACCTTACACTACTGCAGCATTTCCTTACAGTGTGGTTGTTAAGTTTCCCTCATTTTTACTGTTAAATATAATATAAACAAATAAAAAAACAAATATAAAAGATTTGCTGTGTTCCATCCGAGTTCACTAAAAGTGTAATTTGAACACAATTTGATTGCAATTGCATTTCTGTTTCATGTAAAAGTACTTTAAGTAGGAAACTTGGGTCCTTACACGTTGGTACTATCAAATCTGGTCCTCTAGAAACTAGTGTTTGTCTAGGTAATTTGATTTGTGATCTGATTTTGTCCTACATTTCACACGATGCCTCATTAGAATCACTGCTGTTTGCTGTGAACCTGGTCGTTTCCATGCACTTAACCCTGTTGCACGGATTGAGAGATAATAATAATAATAATAATAATAATAATAATAATAATAATAATGACTGAAGAAACTGAGAGAAAATGATGTTTCTCTGCTATTTTCTGTGACTCATGCAGATGCACACACAGGCAGGATGAAGAGGAGCAGGCACCTGATAGGCGTCAGGGATGTTCACTGTCTCTCCGTGTTCTGCCACATAACCAATGATCCCTTTCCCCCACGGAACTTGAACTTCGTCCGAATTCATGGACGGTAAAACTGTGGTTCCTGCGTGCACGTCGAAGAATTTGGACACCAGTGTTTTCTTGTTGCCGGTTCCCTCCACCAGAAACAGGGAGCACCGGTCAGCGTCCACCATGATGCAAACAAACACCAGGATCTTATAGCTGAGACTAGTTAGATCCAAGTCGTTGGAGATGTCCTTAACGAGCTCCAGAAAGAACTCTCTCTCGTTGTGCTCCTTGAGGTAATATTTGAAATCCACAGCCGTGGACGGGTACTGTGGGATGTTGACTCTGGACTCCAGCAGTGCGCTCAGGATGTGCGCAGTGGTCGGGGGAAGAGAGCTGGCTTTCCTCAGCAGGGCTCTCCTCCTCATGCTGGTCAGCGGCTCCTGGGCCCTGGAGTTGACGTGTTCGTCGTATGTCCTGTTCACGTTGATGGCCTTGGACCTGGCGAAAGTTTTGCGCAGCTCCTTCTGCGAGGCTCTGCGCTGCAGACCGTCACATTTGCTCGCCCAGCTGTCCTTACACGCGCTACTCTTCTCCTCCCTTGGCTCAGCTGGAGCCTGAGTCGGAGGAGCCTGAGCCGGAGGAGCCTGAACCTGGAGAGACGCCTGAACCACAGAAGGACTTTTGCTTGCCTGGTGATTCTTCAGCCATTTCTCCACCATGCTATAATTCCCCTTTCTGTTCAGATAGTCCTCGAATAACTCGGGGTGCGAGTCCAGAAAAGTTTCCACGTCACAGAACAACATATTGGACACTGCCATGTCTCTGTCGCTGGTGGCCCTCGGTGAGCCAAATCCACGGAGTTGTGCAGAGAAATAGCATCTATGAGGCTTTTGCTGAGGGCTGAAGTCGAGAACTGTTTGAGAGCCGCAACTTCCAAGATGCATATGCTGGAAACACTCCTGAAGTCCGGGTTGCGTGTTCAGTTTCCACTCTGGAGAAGGATGGAGAGTCCCTTTGCGCACCGGCGCTCGCCTCCACGGCGTCTCCTCACTAATTCCCACATCATCTGAAGCCAATGTGTGGAGGCAAATTGATGCTGGCGAAGAGGGAATCCAACACTGAGCGAGCAGCGAGCATCGCTTCACCGTGCCGTGGGTCTCCTCCTGTGCTAGTGATGCTGGCTGTGGTTGGCTCTGTACCGCTGACGCTCCTGTCGTCACACAAACACCGAGCTCAGGTTTGCCTCCGCTCTCACTCCTCTGACCATTTGAACCGTTTGCCCTCCTTTTCAGAAAAGACGCACTTCACTGTGATGGAGATGACGCTAAACACGGGGTGATCATCCATTCCACGGCCCTGAAAATTACATTAATGTGAATAATCGAGTTAGTCACGATGAAGGAATTCACTTGTATTCACTTGTATATTTCTTTTCTTAATGATGATGAAATCCAGCTTCAGTCACCACGCTAATCCAAACGTATAGACTTCATAAAAGGCGAACAAGCAGACCCACTATGTGTGAGAGCGTTATTATTATTTAATGAAATTATACCCCAACACTGTCAACATATCAGATTCCTCTGCTGCATCTCTACTGTAAGGCCTTTGGTGATGGCACTGCAACGCTGACAGGAGTCATCAAAGTGAGTGACTGCCGCCAGTATTTGCTCATCAATAATAGATGCCGCAACTCGACGTTACACATATAAACAAGTTTCACAGACGTGTCGGTCGCGGGGTGCTGCGGTAGTCTTCTTAGTTTATACTATAAAGTAACAGCAACATCTTAAATCATACATTTGATATTCTTTTAAAAAAGAAAAGCAAGACAAATCCCCCCATTAATAATCAGATAATGAAGGTGTACTTACGAGATTTCAGCGCGAGAGGGCGCCGTGGTCCACAATTTACAATCAAACAATACGCGGTCAGCAGTCCTACAGTATAATTGTCATGTCAACTGACGTTTACCCTAAAACTATAAATCAGATAGTGCCCAAATTGAATAATCAATTTGAAGATAGGACTGTGATGACTCCAAAAACACTATCAGTAAAAGGTTGGCGCTGTATCAGCAACATACATACACACGCATACAGACATATATACTTACATACACATACACATATGCACATATAGGTATTCTCCAACCTGCAAATATAGCAAACTATGAGGTTTTTTCATAATTGCATATACCAAATTCTACAAACAGAATAGGGTAAAAAAAAAACTCAAATAATTGTGTTTAATGTTTTTCATTTTCGGGCTTAATGATGAAGCACTCAACAGAAGTAGCGTCAGTGATCAGAACAAGGATATCAAAACCTACAAACATGAAATTGTGTGGGAACATTAAATAACAAGTAATTTTGAAAACCTAATGAATAATTACAAGTTATTCAATTTAGAATGCACAGTACATGCTCTATAAATTAACAATAAAAAGGAGCCTGTTAAAACCAGGGTATACAATTTACTCCAGCGCAGAGTACTGTGTCAGAAACAGAGATGGCAACAAAACCATCATTATCCAGTCTGCTTCATGTCCTCCTTGACTTTGACACTATCATAAGACCTGGCCTCTTGAGCAGTTTGTCCAAATTAAAAAAAAAAAAGAAGAATGAGGAAAAACTAGCAGATGAAGATGGTGCCGATCAAAACTACTTTATGATGTTGCTGACTTGAGATATGCAATAAGGTCAGCGCGCTCATTCTTCTTTTTGATGCCAGCAAAGATCATCTTTGTTCCTGGAATGTACTTCTTGGGATTCTCCAAATAAACCATCAGAGTGTCTTCATTCCAAATAATACCTGCATAAAACACAGAATACTGTTTTAATCGAAGGGTCTTTGGCCAAGGGTGAGTCACATTGTGGTTCGGATACAAGCAAATGCTTACCTTTGCTTTTGTTGGCATCGGTGTAGGAGAAGCCCTCAGCTTGGCCTGTTTTGCGCCCAAACAGACCCCAAAGATTGGGTCCCACCTTGTGCTTTCCACCATTCTCCACAGTATGGCACTGGGCACACTTCTGGACAAAGGCCTTCTTTCCCTTTTCAATGTCTGCAGGCATGTTTACTGTGAACACAAGTATGTACGTTACAGGTTACACAACTTACTCACTTAGATAAGTATTTATCACTTTCAGATTTGATGACCAAACTCTAAAGTTCTATTACTTCAAAGAGTTTTCCTCACCCACAGTTATAGTAGCTACAGCAAAAGTGAGAGCAATAAAAACTGTCACTGCATTACAGAGAAGTGACTCAATAGTCTTAGCAGGCGTGCAAACCACTGATTTAAAATGTACTTTATACCTTGCAGCCATACTATTCAATAAACTTTTAGTCTATAAAAGTCTGTATATGGATGGAATGAATTCCAAAGTAAAACGGCCAAACACAACACATGCTAAGTTAATGTCTGAAAATTATTTTAAAAGGCAAAAGTATTTGCTTTTCAGTCGTTTGTTCATATGAAACTGGTGACAATGGTTGAGTTCTTGAATGGTGAACTCAGAAATGGTGATTCACTGTATTCTTCTGTACTACCTCCTCAGCTTCCTTTTCCCAGAATATATTGCTCAATGCTTGAAACGTCAATTATTCGTATCACTATTATAAACATAATATCCAACTGTAGGTAAATATATAAAACTGGGTATGGCACAAATCTAATTTGGAATTCCCTCGCTTTTACTGCAGACAAAGTAGAGATTCGCAATCCGCCACGAGGGGGAGTCCCCTCCTCGCCGTACACAATAGACCTGTTAAACAGACAGGAGTAGCGTTAGGTAACGTTCCCTAGAGCCTCCTCTTTCGCCGTAACGACTACGTTTTGTGTATTGTTATGGCCTTTAGCTTGGCCTGAAACGTAAGCAGCAAGGTTACTTGACTTTGTTTTTGTCACATTTGCTTCAAGGGTGAGAGTTAGCAACATTCCAAGACCAGTTTCCTGAATGACCAGAATTCAACAGACAATAAACGAGATAGTTATCAGTAAACAACGACTCTTTGCTCTAACGACATTATCCTACTTTTAGTATAAATATTTTGTCGTCTTGCCCGTACCTTTTCAAGAAAATGAAATTAAAAGGGTACCGGAACTATGTGCCGGCCGGCATTAGCCCACGTTGCACATAGCAAAAACTGGTTGTAACCGCATTGAAGGACACAGATTTGTTACGACCACCATAAAATATGTAATTTTTTTTATGATTAACATAATGAGCGTAAGTCTTACCTCTGAAATCGACTTCTTAAGTCCACCCTCTAGCTAGGTCGTGTTCAGCCGAAGATCTGTCCTTCTACTGCCCTTCCCCAAGACTTTTACTATACTATCAACGTGCTTCCGCTTTGTGAAGACATTTCCGTTTGACGTCATACGTCACGCGACTTGTTTTTATCACGCTTTACCCCAGTGTTGCGAAACTGGGCAATGTGATATCGGTCAATGTTACAGCAGCAAGAACCAAGGTTATTTAAGGTGTTCTGTGTGAAACGTGTGTGTATTAGTGTGATATCCCACGTCTGTTGGCAACTCTTGAATGAAAACTAGTTTTACTTTAAATTTATTGAAAATACACACATAAAATATGACTTATCTCGTGGAGAACCGTTTTTTAATTTGCACCATACTGCAAATGAGTTCCTCACAGGCGGCCGACATATTGGATCACCACGTTTGGAGGACAATCTACATTCGATACCTCCAAAAAAGTCAAATGACTTAAGCCTCAAAACAAAAGCTGTAGTTTGTTACCAGTAATAATTAAAGAAACTACCGTTTTATGTAAGGATAATTTGTTTTTACTGGTTTTATACACAAAAATATGTACTTCTACACCTCTGCTCTTAATCCACCTGATTTGTATTAATTTAAATACACTTGTATAATACTTATGTGGTGGATGAGATATGTGAATCCAGACGTGAATCATCATAAGAATCATGTTATATCATAATATTTTGTAAATCAACCACACAGTTCACATAAAACAACACGTTTTTTCAATTTATATTAGTGGTTTTCTTCCAGTATTAAATAAAAAAAACAAATAAAGATATTAATGAGGTATTAAAGAGGTATTAAAAAGTGAAATGAATAAGTGGAGAATAACTAAATAAAATGATTTACATATCCTAGATTTTCAAACATTTGAGTAGCCAGTTTCACCTTGACTATTCTGGTAACCAGTTCACATGGGGCAGGTCAGAGCCTAAACCAGTATGTCCAAAGTGAGTGTGCCTACCATGAAATCTGATCTCCTCCCCTTCTTAAACAGTCCAGAGACAGGCTCCACTGCTCTTCTCTGACTGGTTTGTTCATTCAACCTATGAGGAGATATTTTAGAATGACCTCTAACCATACTATAGACAGGTTTAGTTCAAGCTACTCCTGTAAGGTGTCCTCAAGTTGCCACTCCACTGACTGAGTATGCTGGTCTCCTGACGTTAAACAATTATATACTTATACACAGAGAGATACATTGAAACTTAACAGCGTATCTGATTTCTCCTTATTTGTCTTTGAAGAAGTTATACTTTTATATTTTTTTGACAATTCAATAATATACTTTTAATTATTATTATTATTATATTTTAAAAGTATAATAATATATATAACAATAATCTGTCATTTAAATTAGTCACAAAAACAGGTGAGGAAAAACATCTGCTAATGTTCAATCTCAATAATTGAGAAACGAGTGCTTAAGATGGTCCAATACGTTTTACGTTTTTAGTAATTTATCCTAAAATACGGTGGGTTTTTTTTCTTGTGTCCCCAAAACGTCGACGTATACCTGCCAAACGAACGTTTAAAAAGGAACCCCAGATCCGCACTTGCTGTTGCTCGGTCGCCACGTTTTATAATCAGCCCTGGGCCGCCGTCCTCTGATCCACTCCCGTGTTTAGTTCCCGCTCAAAGCTCCTCTTGCTGCAGGGAGGAGCGAAATGAGTGCAGCTGAGCGCTGAGCATCACAACCCGCATTCAGGGAAACGGCCCAACACAGCACTTTTATTTTTTTCCCCACTTCTCCCACGCTGTTCTTAGCCTCTGTTTAACTTTAATGATAAGGAAAAATATAAACATTTTCAATGTGGCGGTCAGTGAGATGCGCTGCCCTGTGAGGAAGCTGGGAATCTCTGGTCAGTGAAGGGAGACCCCCGCTCTCCGCCCCCGATTGTTTCCTACGCCGACAACTGTACAGACATGCTCAGCACTTCGCAGCTGTTAAGGTAATTATACCTTTTTGTCTAACCTTAATTAATATTACACAACAGCAACTACTCTTTTAAAACAGCGCCACGTTACAATGAAGAGGCTGGTGGAGCTCAGCAAGCTTAACACAAGGATAGCCCCAGCATCTTCATCCTCATCCATATGCATCCCATCAGTGAGGAGCAGTCAGACATGATCACATAGACTCTCATCATCTAAAAATGACTTCTATCCGGTAGAAATCTCACAACAGCAGGGACACTTCCACCCCCACTCTCCAACCTTCCATAAATGCATGGAGGTTGTGGATGGAGGTGACGAAACCTCCAGTCATCACACATCCTACTCAATACCCGACTTTGGAAACCCAAATGCGTCACTGACGTTTCGACCTTTTTACCTAAGCTTCCCCCTCCCCCCCAGCAAACCAAGTCCCCCATGGACAGACTGCTATCAAGTGTTAAAAGAATATTGACGAGCAGTGGGGTTGCCCTTTACTCTGTATGTTTCTGTGGTCAGGGTTGTCCTGTGTGTGTCGATGATGCAAAAAGACATCCAAAGTTGACTAACTTCTGCTCTGTTGCTAACAGGATGTCATTTATACAACATCTCAATGTCTGATTTCGACAGAAGAAAAACTGAAGGTCAGGCAGTGACTTTGCAGATGTTTAAAATAGCAACCATTACACTAAAAAGCAGCAGAGAGCGAGCAGGAGGAAGCCCCTGTTTAATAATCAACAGTGTTTACTCTGATTTTAAAATATGTTTGATTATTCAAAAGTCACAATGAGGTAATTAAAATCTCAGGATAAAAGTGTGTGAAATACACAATATTTATTCCATTACATTTATATTGTTCAGATGCTCAAACTTGACCTAAAATATTGTACATGTGTACATGGCTAAATCTGGTAGGTTGCAGTGCAGGATAATACTATTATTGTCATTATTATTTTTTACAGAAGGACATATTCTGCTCAGGCTGCATATATGACCGTGAGGCGGATCTTGTGCTAAATTTTGTGTCCCATTTCCAAATCATGACTACTGGGCCTCTGATGTCCCAGAAAGAAACACTTACTTTTTATAATCTGTGAACAATATACTAAAACTGCCAAAGAAAATATCCTGTGCCTACACAATGGAAATTGCTCTTAGATAGCACAAAGCCTCGTACACTCCAAGGTGGAAGTGGTTAGTAGATGAATCAATGACTGTTTAAGTTTGTTTTAGCCAACCACAACATTCTCATCATTTTTATAACAAGTGAGAATACATAAAAAAATACTACATTTGAAGCCTAATTTCTTCTTTTCATGAACAAAAAGACTAGCTGACCAATTGAAAACAGTTATCACATGATTAGTCACTGGATTCAGCACCAGTGTGCTTAAGATATTGCCTTATCTAACTTCTGTTGTCTATTATTTAATTTGAGCCTTTAAGATCTTGAGCACATAAATTCTTATACTATCCTATCTGTGTGTTTGAGAGTTAATTTCTTTTGCAAAGTTAGTAACTTGAGCCATTGTGTTTTTTTCGGTTTTAAATTCCAGGTACTTTAGGTACTGTCAGTTTTCTATCACCCTTATAACATTTACATAACATTACAACAACCTTATACATTACTGTGATTTTCAGTTCACCAGCTTCTACAATAAAAGCTTTGTATGTTGTGAAGAAAGTTTGAGAGCTTAAAAGAGGTTAATCGCTGAGGAACCCTGGGGTTAAACTGCTTCTATCCTGTTGAATGATGCTTCAGAATAAAACTAAAACAGGGCGATGTGTTCACCGCCCCCTGGTGTCCTGCTGGATATTGACTTGATGGATTACAGCCTGCCATATTATAGGCAGGTAAATGGTGACAACATGGCTGCGCTGATTGATCTGACTTATTATTCAGTTATACATTCTGACAATGTCTGTCCTCAACGTCCCTGTAATATAATCCTGGGCCGTAGGTCGGCCTTTGATGGCCCACTTTAATTATGCAACATGGGGGGAGAGGAGCAGACCTCGTACCATGTAGACCGATGGTCCATAATGTTTTACTGTGGGTGGGTTAGATGTGTTCAAAACCACAACTATAAAGTGATTTCCTCTTTAGTCTAAAGAACACATGCCGTCACTCTGGATGTTGGTACTAATAGCAGTAAACATCCTCTATATGGGTATTGATTCACATCCTATTTTTAGTATTAATTCTCCTAGTTTGGTACTGTTTTGATATCTTGGTTTATTTTTACTCATCAAAAAAGTAATACTCAACACCCTTTTGATTTGAGAGACACCATCTTGAGACCAAATTAAAAAAGCTAACTGAAGCTAACTGAAAAGCTAAAACCTAACCACTTTTCTTGTTGCCAAGGTTTCCGAAACCAGCATTGCTACTTTCAGTACCCTCAGGGTTAACCTGACGGCTACAGCCACTACTTATATACAGTTTCGTGATCACACGTCATACATTTTCACACCTACACAGATGTTAACACTTATTGACAGATGACTGCCAATACTTTTTATACAATTATCAACTGATCTTTGAAAATATTGTGGTTCACTTTTTAAACCAAGTGTACATTTACACAGTGGCCTGGAGTGTGGAAGAATTCAGCAGCTCGTTCTCTTTTCTCTCTTTTTTCTGGAGCAGGCTGTTCTTGCAGCTGAAAGCGTCTGACTTTGTGGCTCTAATAATGCCACATTAATCACCATTTATGAAAGGTACTTCAACAGATGATACTTTACAAGATGGGACTGTCAGAGGAGGCTCTGATGGAAGTTTGTGCAGATGCTGAGATTATCATGTGGAATGATCAAGATGGTTGGGATTAGAAAAGAGTGAATCAGAAGGACGGCAGAGGTCAAACAGACAAGTGAAAAGAAGAGGACATGGTTTGATGATGGGCCGAGGACTGATAGTGAATACAGTACTGGACGAAGGATGGGATACATGGAAACCTGTTGGAGATTTGCAGACTTTTTGCAACAATACATGTAGTTGGTTGTAGTAACAGTAGAAAGTGGGAAAGGTGAGATGGAAGCAATTCAGCTTTTGTAGTGATCCCTAAAAACACAACTAAAAAAAGGAATTGACCATTTTGAACAGCTTGCATTTCACTTCCCTTATTTAAAAGTGCTGTTCCATGCATTTTGGTGCAATTTCAGTTTTATAATAATTTTAAGCATTTCACATATGTAAGCTGTAAAGATCATCCACAGCCAGCCTTAGTTACTATAGAACATCCTGGCTAAATTTAGCACAGAGCTCCGCAGCGTTATGGGACTGTGCACCTCCAAAATGGTATTTCTACTACAATCTCACCGTAAATAAAAATGTTACCAAAGTCATTAGGTTTACCAACCAACAACAAAACATAATCTGTACATTTGTCATCCTTAGTTACCATTATAAATATATTTACTAGGAGTTTCAAAGAAAATACAATCACGAAAAATTAAAAACTAAAATGATAATAGATGAACATGCACGATCATTCCAGACAGTTCAGTCTTAAATGAAATCGTTGTCTCCCGGTAATGACTGGTCATTAGAGCTGTTTACTCAGCATGTGTGAAGTCCCCTGAGATGTTCTGTGAACATTGAATGAATATCTGACCTCCATCCTCACTAATAAACAGACAATGGCACTGAGGTCAGAGGTGAGGATGACATTTTTATTGTCACTGACTGAATGATGTGTGACCAGCTTTACAGTCTTTGCCTTAAGCAACGATGAGGAGATGAAACAGAAAATAAGCTTCAGTAAGATAATGCGTTGTAGTTAGTGTTCATAGTGTTCATCAAAAATAAACATATTCTTAGCTTCATGGCTTATCTGTCTCTGATTTCAAATTAGCTGCACAGCTTTTATTAAGTTTTAATCATGTTTTATTACGGATCATTTGTTCTCAGATCATTACGTCTGCCGGTCATATTCTCCGATATAATCACTAGAGTTAAATCTCTAATGAACGTACTTGTAATCACAGCAACAGAGTGGCCAGTATGAACAACCGCAGCTATTCTCACTTTAGCTATGAATGTGGTCGAACCATTCAAGTGTGGTGGCATTTTAGTCCAACATGAGGCATTACAGGAATGTGGCCAAAAGGCTGCTTTGGACTCAGACTCTTCCATACTAATGTCATTGTTGATTCCTGGGACTAAAGGCTGCTCTGTGTGCAGAAGTCTATTAAAACTCTGCAGCTACAGTCAATTATCTCAGCTGCTCGAGTTTGAACATATAGTGCATCAAAAGTAATGCATCCACTGAATGTGTGTGTGTGAGTGCATACTATTGAACATTACTTCGTCTGATGCACATTTACTATCATTTTAGAGTTAGTTCAAATCTGGGTTAAACATCAATCCCAGAGGTTTAAATTATATTTTCACAGAGGGCCTATGGTCTATATTTGATCCTATTATTAACACCTTTATAAATCTAGATCTAAGTCCTGACAAACACAGGACATCTTATGGAATGACAACTTTAATCTATATTTAAAACAGTTAAAAATATTTCAGATGTTTAATCATTTTATTTTTGGCCACTTGAAATCACCTGGTGGGCTGAATCGTGCCTGCGGGCTGCAGGTTTGACACTTGTTTGACCTACACCGAGTAGTGTTTGATATAGGAGTGAGGCTAAAACAACATACTAACAAGACTGTGAAAAGATATGAGCTCAAGACTTTTCCTCATCGGCAGCAAAACACCAGACTGTCTTCTCCGTGGAACAGTTTTGCAATTTTACAGTACATTTCATCCTCAAGTGTTTGGTCCTAAAATTAGCCTGTTGTAACAGAGTGGACACAGAATTGCACTGCAGCAAAGCAGTGTTTCTTTATTCACACCCCGGAGAGCACATAATCATTGACCAACCACCACTTTGCAGAAAGAGTCCAGTATTTGGTTTGACACTGTTCTCCGGGTCATGGTTAGGTGCTGTAGAGTAGAAGTGTTAATGTAGCATCTGTGTCCTCCTGCTCACAGAGGATCATAATCATGGTGGATGGATTTAGAAGATTAAGCTCATGACTAATCAACTGCTGACATCCCCCCGCCCCCCCCCCCCCCCCCCCCCCCCCCTCCCCACACACACACACACACACGGTTACTCCCCTTACATGGAGCTGCTGTCTTTCTGTTCTGGTATAATTGTGCCATAGATGGCAATATTATTAGGTTTGGAGAAGCTTTAGAATAAAGACATTGACTTCAAACCATGTTCTACAATGGCTGCTGGTACTTTAACACTTTTAGTTCCTACAATAACCGATAAACTTCTTCATGATAAACTTGAGTCATTTACCCCTAATGCCAGTAGTTTCTATATATAACAGAACATTTCCATTAATTAATTAATTGCAATGTGTATATGTTGGAAAGATTTTAGTGAGTTATTAAAAACATTTCAATATGTGAAAAAAACCTCACAACAACCGACACTCTTTTAGCCCTGTGGTCTAAATCGTAGCTCATGAACTGCATTAGCGCTGCCCCACAGTCACCGATGAACAGTGGATTAAAATAGCCAGGTTTGAAGTGCTCCTCACATGTCCTTCATTACTAGGGCAAGGACAAAGGCTCTATTAAGTGGCTAAGTGGTGAACGTTGTAGTACAGTAGCTTAGGTCCTCGTTGGCTTAAGACAGGGCGGGGAAGATGATGACGTCTCAGGCTGTGAATTATAGATGGTGGTGTGCCTGTGTGTGTGTTTGTTGTGTGTATGTGCTGCAGGATTACATGTGAGCGTGCCTTCTGCTGAAACGTGCGGAGCTGCTGTACAGCAGACTTGTGACATGTGGGAGTGCTGATGTCAACAATGACAACTGTTCTCTAAGATACATAATGAATGGTCTTTTAAAAAATCACACTAATGGCAGTCTGATCAAATGTAAACAACAGACTTTTTTGGATCTTGTACTGTCAAGTATTAGTAGCAGGGCTGTCAAAATGAGCGTGTTAATTCATTTATAAAGATTAAACAAGAAACAACATGAACAAACCATTCACCCTAATGGTAGTTGGGGAACTCTGCATGATTGAATGGCATTTTTCTGGAAACTATTCTTGTATGTCCCATCTTAAATTTAGGAAAAATGTAAATAATTTAGCTACATTAAAAAGGCATAGTCGTCTATAGTTTTACTTTCCACTCTGTAGTATTCTAAAAGCCTATTATTACAGTAAACCATCACATTCTTCTCTCATTCCAGAGCACGTTTACATTTAAATCCAATGATATTTGCATTAACATCACAGGCGACAGTGGAGCTTCTACTAGTAACCACGGAAACCACCAGCACAATGACCAAAATACTACAAGTATACTGCATCAATGTTACCATGCTTAATCATCTACTTTGTGATTTACAGTACTTATCACTAATCGTCTTCTCTGTTGTACTTCTCCTCATTTCTGACTCCTTTCTCATTCTGCAAACACAGATGATCCTCGTCACATGTTATCGTGTAACAAAATGCCACCGAGTGCGTCAGCTTTGTGCAGTCAGGTGTTGTTGTTGTGCTGTTTGTTTTTTCCACAGTTGATATATGTTTCATCAGTGACGGAACCTCCTGAGAGTTCACAGTTAGTTAGACAGCACCACTGCAGGGAGTGTCAGCATGGTGCATCCCAACATAGTCACTGCTGGAACCAGGTACTTCCTTACTGCTGTCTGAAATGTATTGGACACATTAAAGCTAATAGACCAAATGTGTGCAATATACGCAGGTGAATGATTTAAAAAATGGAAACCCAGGAAATAGGTTTAAAGCAGCAGTAACTAGTTTCAGGTCTTCTTCTTTCCATAGAATGTGGTGCAAGGTTTAGAAGATTTTTCTGACCTCAGTTTTTAGAAATTGATGCTCAAGGGTGGTATAGCTTAGTGGCATTTGTATGATTGATGACTTGTACATCTAACTGCTGCCTGGTTTTGACAGTTTTGACATTTTTGTGCTTATAAATAGGGATTTCTGTCTTGCAATCCGAAAGACAGAATCCATTTCATTTCTTACTGTGTTGACTGAGGTGTTGTAGTGAGTTGGCAGTCAGATGGAGTGTGTTACCTAATTTAGTTGTTGTGTACATTGACCCTTAGTAAATTATTCACCATTGATTGTTGGTAATTCCTGGGTTTTCTTGGTAATTTGCAGTGTTTTATTGCAAAGCCGATAAACAATTGTTGTAAACTGACATTTTTATTCCCCGCACGCTTTAACTGTAAACACAGTTCGGTGCATTTATTTACTGAGGTTAAGTCAATGTATAGAATAGAAGCTGAAGCTAATGCAGGTTAGAGCTGGGTTGAAGGACTCATTAATTGATTTGTCTGGAATCACAGAAAACTCCAGACTACCATTTCCTGTGAGTGGACAGACTCTGAGGAAATAAATTTAATAAACTTGTCAGACGATACTCAAACAAGATAATCTCTGTTATAGTGTAGGATCCACAATGGAGAAGCTGTGGAGCTATAGTATAATCTGTTTGTCAAACTTGTTCATTTCTTAATGAATACATTTGTCATTTAACACCTCAAATATACACTCATCTAGTGTGTGAGAAAATAAATGTCTTTTGAATTGTGAGTGACCTCTTTTCAGCATCTGTGTGACATTTTCAACCATTTATTATTTCAGGGGGTTATAAAGTGTAACTGTTATTGACATGTCTAATAGAAATGTCTAATTTTACGAAGTACTGCTCCAACTGAAATGGTAAATGAAGGCTTGTTATCCGCTGAAGAGAAACTACAAAAACAGCTTTGAAGGACAGTTCAGTGTGTCTCTGATGAGCATCTGTGGGTTTTATTATCATCCTGAACCTAATTAAGTACACTTGTAAATGCTCACACACACACACACACTTATTTTTGATGTGAATAAATGACACTGAGTCAGTACCAGAGTTGGTGTAAACACTTGAACTGCGATGGGAGCAGAAAGGCAGAGTGATCAATTAAATCCTGACCTTCGTTTTTACAGATGAACAGACAGAGTTGAAGGACGTGTCAAAAGATGCTCCTGATCTTCAGGGGGCAGTGTTGAGGGAGGTCCACACAGCCAACCCGCTCTGTCACACCATGTCTTACCACCAACACTACCAGCGAGGCTCCCAGGGCCGCACCATGAGCTCTGAGGAGCGAAGCTCCTTGCAGGGCAACAAGACTTCCACACCCGTTCATAAGAGCGCCTCCTCCTCGTCTTCATCGCAGCGCGACAGCCGACAGGTAATATTCATGTTACATGAGGGGTAAATCAAGTGGAGAATATAGTAAGAATTCTCCCACTATGAGATTATCTATCTGTTACTTTTACTATTATTATGCTAACACAGGCATAATTAAAGTCTAACAACTTTTATATCGAATATCAAAACAGCCTTTTCTATTATTTATGTTATTTTTAAGGTGCATTGCTCAATGGATCTGGATACACATATTGACAAACTAGAGGTTAAAAAGTAAGAGTAAGCCACCAGAGGGCGACTCTTATGGTTGCGAAAAAAACAAACAGCTGTGTGTTAATGAAGGAGGCATCTTCCCTTCACTTGATTTACTACAGTAATAGATGTTTTAAGGAAGGATCCAGTTTTTGGTCCACTTCCACAGGACACAGTGACAGTTTTTGTAAATTATAGTTGTACTCATAAGAAATTATATTCTGTGTGACGCAAGGTATTTTCCTCAAGGACGTTTGGAAGCTCTCCTCCATAGAGAGCATCGATTTGCAGCTAATCCTACACTTTTTATTCTCCGCACTGAACCGTTGCTGCATGAATTGAGTCATCTTTTCGCTAGAAAAAAAAGAAAAGTCTTTGTAGCCAACACAATGGCTTATTGATATGCGCACAAACATGGCTGTTGTCAAATGTCAATTCTTGCAACACATCGCTGTTGTTGCTGCAGTTTTAATTAAGATTTGTCTTTATGCTTTGAACTATTTAAGTTAATTATTATAGATATTTTAATTTATAAATAAATAAATCCAAATGCAGTACTTCTTAAATAGTGGGGCGGGGGCGCTGTGAGATGCCAGAAGGGGCTTGAGGGGTTTCCAATAGAATATGGCACACTGGACTTGAATGATAACAAGCCTCCAGTCATTAGGTGGCAGCAACTCATACAGTGGTTTGTACAGATAAATGTCATCAGATTCTCAGTAGTATTTCAATTCACGGGGGTGTTGGCCTGGGTTGGTCTCTTGATCCATCTGTTTGTTACCAATCAGAGAAAACAGCTCTGACCAGTTCAATAAACACGTGAAGCCCCCAGCCCTCAGGCACTCACTGAACTGCTGTGTCACTGTGGCCATGTTGAAATACGACACCCAAACTGGAATCTCTGACATCACAGATTTTCCATCGGGGAACTGGTTCATGAATATTTCATTAGGGACCGGTTTGGCGCTCCGCTGAACATGTGGCAGACGGTGGTAAGCAGTGAGGGAGCCCAGCTCCTCACTGCAGGAGATGGCTCTCCAAGGAGATAAGCAGAATCAAAGCCTGGTTGAGAAGTATAATCAGGGGCCTGCTGTGAAGAAGGTGCTTGGTCATTCCAATCCTTCTGCTAGTTCTGTCCTAGTCAGATATATTACTGGTAGTTGGGTGAAAATATTTGTATTCAGTTGTACTCAGTTATTAAGCTCTTGTCCATGAAAACTTCAGTAAATCACTTCAGTAACTCCCCCCTCCTCCCATAGAGATTACACTGAATGTATATGGGATTTTCACTTTGATCGCACAAGGTGAACAGCACTTTAACTTTGCTGGGAACACAGTAGTAAACCTAACACTGAAGTATTGATCTTTTCACCAAAGGGACCTGTTTGTACGTAAGCAAATAGTGGCAGTATCTGGGTATTTTTTTTGCAGACAGATGAGATTACTGAAGTACTGTACACAGTAACTTTTGAGTGACAGCTTTGAGGGAGGTTCATTCGGAAACATCTGACATCTGCTAAGCTGCTATATATTGAAAATGTCAACTATGACAAAAGCTTCAATCACGTAGACCAGTGATGAACAACTGGCAGCCCGCACTGAATCATCCAATCTGGCCCACGGCTGGATTCTAAGATCATGAGGATCAAAGAGAAAATACTGCGTGGTCCCAACAATTAAAGTAACAACTGAGATTTAAATAACCATCAGTAATCCCCACCGTTCATGAGTCTATTCACAGTCTGTTAGACAAAAATGTACATTTTTTCTTCATCTTATGTGAGTGCCCTGCTCCAGGGTGCCTGTCCACATAAAAATTCTTTCCATCTGACAAGTATAGTTGGTAACCCTGGACATAGACCTTGCTCCATGTGTGATTAGCACCTCACCCTGCTCTTCCATCATTTCATGTGCGATGCATTCACACAGTATAACTGTACTGGTATTTCCTTATCTCTGCAAACCACACATGCACAGCTCACTACAAAGAAAATAAAACAACAAGTGAGAGAAATGATGTAAGAAGATGGGTATTGTAAGATCTTAAAATGTCATGTCATCTCTTTATTCCTGGACCGTGTTTGTTCGTCTCATGGGGGTCTCTGTAGTGAACAACAGAAGAGTGGAAAATGACAGGTATTGAATAAAAAATGGCAGCTGCATCTTACAAGGGCTTCCCCCCCTTCAACCAAATGCCATTCTCTCTAATTGTTACTGAAAAGTGGAGCCTAGTGGAGTCAGCTCAGGTCTGTATACACAGCTGCTTTGGAAGAGCCACAGTAGGAAATATCTGCTAACACAAGATACTTTGTTGTATTTTCTGCAAAAAAAACTTGACCAAATGTCAGTGAAGATTAACTGGGCAGGAAACAGAGGATGTGGATTCATCCAGATGTCAGAGCAAAGCAACGACTTTCAACTACAGGATATCTACACTCAGAGATTAGAATGAACACTGTAACAGTTTTTAAGTATAAAAACCTGGCGGAACTCCCTGTTATACAGTGTATAGACTGAAAAT